AATATCAGATGAACAACAAGGCTTTATTCAACCGGCATTCATACAAGTTATCAATCATGAACGAAACATTTCTCTTACCGTTGCTTATGGGTGGAGAGCTGAACACCCCAGTTAGAAAACGTAATCCATGATAGGTGAAGAACTGAACACATGTAATCCATGAACCTCGTCAGGTAGAATCCTTCAAGCAGCTCTAACCCCCTGAGCCCTCCTCTGCTCCTTATACATTCCCTGATGTGCGTGCAAAGCTGCACACCTCCACCATGATTACCTTGATTACATCCTCATGATCACATTATGTTCGGCTCTACCATGATTACCCTTGATTACATCCTCATGATAAGTGTGATTGACAAACAGTAGTGATCAATAACTTATATAAAGCAATTATACAACAGATGACAAGTTCATTTTTATTACATTATATGCCAACTAAGAGATTGTAGAGGCTGCCTGGGTAATAGGAGCCCTCTGATTTATGATAGATATTGTTGTAGTTCACAGATTACATTAGCTAGGACACATTATGCAAAGTCAAAATTTCAAGGCTAACTTGCTAGCATCAATCACGATGATAATAATGAACTTAACTTATAAAATGAATTAAGGTAGTTCGGTACTGTTACAGATCACCTATATATACTTGTATATGAGAAGTAGTAGCCTAGCAAACTTACCGCATTAATACTCCTTCTCACATTATTTATTCCTGGACTTGTAGCTTTGTGGCAAAACCTTTTCAGTGCCCTTGGAGTTTTAGAAGGAGTCGGTTCTCGGTTTCTTTTTTCGGAGTTTGTCGCGCTTTCTCTTGCACAGGATTCATCGTCCTTCTTGTTTTCCACCCATCTCCAATACAGTGGTAGATATTTTTCCACTCCTGATAACGTCGAGACACAACCCCTACAAACACGGTTAGACTTCCCTGATCGTATTTTAATCTCCAATCCAACGTGCATAAGTCTGTCGGGTATACTTGGCGGCTTCTTATTTTTAATCAAACAAGGTAGTGCAATGTCCCTGTACACCTGATATTCGCATGTTTTTCATACAAAAACGACAGAAATCATTGATGTTAGACACCATTGCTGCCTCCCTCATCTTTTCCGTCGCTGTGATTACGTCACATTGTTCGTTATTCTGATTGGTCCTAGCGCTATCCAATTGCATGCAGACAGTTTGAAAGACAACCGTAGAGCCTGCCCCACGACTGACAGCCCTCAATGGGTCGTGGCCAGACTATATATTCACATATATAGTCTGGCTTGCCAGGCTAGCACTTGATATCATCCTGAGAAGGCCATGCAGATATGTAAATCAGGTGGGCTGAAGCAGAGACATGGAAAACATGCAGGGGGGCTTAATAAAAGCTGGTTTATTATTCATTTGGGTAGAAATGGACTATCCAGCCTCAGATCTATATCACAAGATGTCCTTTTCTTTTATTTACATTAAAACATTTTTGCTTCACACCAAGAATAACCTCCAAGTATCTGGGTGAAGTAGTGATTGCCTGAGGTATTTTGGTAAATACCTTGTTCACTTCCTGAACAATCAGTTCTTAGCCAGCTTCCCGGTTAGCTGACTGGGTGAGCAAGCACTGGGGACCATCCTCTCTTTTGACCTCAAGGTCAAAGCCGCTCTGCCACGCCTGCAAGTGGTATGAGACCTCCTCGAACATGGAACGTCTAACTAGCAGACCCTGGCAACATCTTAGGGCCGGTGATATCTGAATTTTAAGGTAGCTTCTACTTTAAGATTCCAGGAGACACTCCATCCGGTGACCTCACCACCCGGACAGCCTCTGCTCCGGACCACGAAGAGCGGCCGTCAGCACACGGGTATGGTAGACCTGCACACTGCCGTCGGATGGGTTTATGAAGAATCTCTTATTAAAGCACACAGACTGATTTTACAACCCAGAGATCACAAGATCTCTCAGATACTTAATCAGGTTTTGTGGCTCCCGGGTTGGCGTCTGTCTGATTGTTCCTGGTGGCTGCCTGGTGGGATCTGAGCTCCTGGGCTCTGTTGGGTTCCCGGCGGGGCTGGTCGCTCCTGGGTCCCGGGTCACTGGATTCCGGGCTCGGCCGGCTTGGAGGTGGGAGGCTGCGTGCGGGCCTGTGAGCTTGCCGCTGATATCTCCCGGGACACAGCCGGCTGCTGGTTGTGACCCCCCGGGGCAATCCCCTGTCTTTCTCGAGGGGGGCAGGGGCTTTTCTGGTCGCAGTCTCCCTGGGGTCCCTGTGCTCCAGGGCAGCTCCTGGATGAGATAAACTGGGGTTTATCTCATCTTTGGGGACAGATCTGTGGCCCCGCACACTCTCCATTGGATGCTCCTATAGAGAAACCTTACATAAACAAGTGCGTGTACACTCACAGGTGCTCACATAAGTATGGACTTGGGCATTTTCAACACGTCTTAAGGCTGTGGTTGGCACTAAATGCACTGTGATTTATTATCATGATTTTTCAGTAAAACAATGTTGATTTTATATTTCCTCATCAGGTTGATGCAGTGATAGCTTGCTCCTGTTGTATTGTTGTGTCCCCTTTCTGCAGGTCTATAGCAGACTGTTGTTCATCATTGATTCTTTATTTTTGTGGATTGTTTGGGTCTATAGGGCCTTACATGGACAAGCACCATCATACATTGGTGATCTTCTCAGTCCCTACACCACCAGCAGGTCCCTGAGGTCCAGTGGCCAAAGCCTACTGGTTGTGCAGCACCAAGCTAAAGGTCAAAGGTGAAAGATCATTTGCTGCTGTGGCCCCCAGACTCTGGACCTCTCTCCCCCTGAGCCTGAGATAAGTGGACTCAGTGGTCTCCTTTAAACTCACCTGTTCAGGCATTGGTGGGACCTTCATCACCCTCTCCTTGTTCTGCTCTTGTTCCACCTTTCCTGGGATCCACGGATTTCTCACTTTCCTGTTCAGTTTCTCTCTTCCTATCTTTACATTTTTTTAAATTCACAATTTTTATTTTTTCTCATTTTAAACATATTTTAATCGTTTTTTTTCCTTTTTTATGCTTTAATTTTTTTTTGGTTTTTGTGAAACGCCTCGTGATTTTTATCTTTAGAGGCGCTATAGAAGAGATTTTCTTCCTTCCTTCCTTTCTTCCTTCCGTCTTCCTTTCTTTCTTCTTCCTTCCTCCTTCTTCCTTCCTTCTTCTTTCTTCCTGTCTTCTTTCTGCCTTTCTTCCTTCCTCCTTCTTCCTGTCTTCTTTCTTTCTTCCTTCCTCCTTCTTCCTGTCTTCTTTCTTCCTTTCTTCCTTCCTCCTTCTTCCTGTCTTCTTTCTTCCTTTCTTCCTTTCTTCCTGTCTTCTGTAAAGAAATTTGGCTGGCTCAGCCATATTTGTAAAGAAAATATTGACTGGCTCAGTTATATTGTAAGGAGAAACTGTCTTTACTCAGTTATATTGTTAAGAAGACTCAAAGGTTGTTTTCATCGATAAACTGACGATAATATCTGTGTGTCTGTGTTTCAGTTCAATGAGGAAACCAGTTTGACAATTAAAAGTTTTAATTCTTCAAATTAAACTAGTGATTTTGAAATTGACAAACAGGTAATAACAATCAACATTGGCAACTTTGTGGGACAATCTTTAACAGTTGATATGCTGTTCTTGCTCAAATAGACCTTCTGTTGGTGAATGAAGATTGAGAGTGATATGAGGTGAGATGGATGCGTGTGTGCGTCTGATTTTGCTTCAGGAAGAAACAGGTGTCTGAGTGAAAAGGGATGGTTTGAATGAACTTAGGTTTAGTTGGAAAAGATGCATCAAAACGCTATCTGTCGTGTTTTGCCTCACCGAAAATCGGACCCTCTGTTGGACCCGGGACGTCACCTTAGGATGATGTTTCAACCAGGGCACCTTGGCTGGCAAAGAAGACAAAGATGCGCCGCGAACCGGTCCAGAGTTGCCCTCGGTACACGTGGATGGTAAAGCGTTTTGTCGATGCGCTTTCTTAAGTTAATTCACTCAGAAATCAAAAGACTCGGTAATGAGTCTGCGTTAGAAGTCGCGATTCAGCTATTCTGTCTGGCTTGGCAGGAACAGCGTGAGAGAGAGGGGGGAGAAGAAACGAGCCAACCGGCTCCCCCCTTTCAGCGGTTGTTCACACATCCACTCTCTTTCGTTGTCAAGCACGAACTGCAATCATAAGACTGAAACTTACCAAAAGCCTTTCTCTTCTCGAAGCAAACGTGTGCGTCAGCAAATGTGTTTTGGAGTTTAACTGTGAGAATCTGTGTGTGGGTGTGTGTGCTTGAGTGTGTGTGAAGGTCAGCAACAAACACTCTCAACATTATCTAATTATGGATTCATTAAATCTCTTATAATTACCCCAAAGCATAATAGTCATTCATTTGATTAAAACACATTTATAATGAGCAAATTGATGATTAAACTTTTAACATTCAAAACAAGAAAAGGAAGTTTAAACTTTATGTTTTGACTTGTTATGACTACTTGTCCATGAGAACTCCTTCTTCTGGTACCGCAGGTGGCAGATGTTATGGTTTCCTCCCAGACTCTCTGGCGTTCAGGTCTTAATCTGTGGGTGAAAGTTCTCAGCGACCCAGCTTTGACCCAGCTGAGTCCAACACCACCTTTGTGACAGAAAACCCATATTTCCTCACGTTACACTTCTTTCTTTCTTTCTTCCTTCCTCCTTCTTCCTGTCTTCTTTCTTCCTTTCTTTCTTCTTCCTTTCTACCATAGTGCCAAATTTAAATGAGCCCCTGCAAACCCTTTGTGTTATTTCTGTCTTTTCACTTGAAATCGACATGATTATTGAGCTCACCAGGAATAATTGGTGTCATTATTGAGTCATTTGCAACCAAATGCTACTAGTTCCCATTCACTTCTATAGTTTATGCTAGGCAAAAGCAGACGGACTGGTGCCAGATCAGAAGTTTTGTTTCTCATTTATCTAACTCTGGGGAAAATGGTAATGGACACATTTTCACTTTGAGGTGGGCTATCCTAGAGGATCTGACCTCTTTGGTTTAGTACATCTTACCTCAAAAGCTCTGGTTGTGCCTGCAGGTGCTACGTTGACGAAAAAGTGTCCAAAGTGGCCTGGCTCAATCGATCGAACATCATCTTTGCTGGTCAGGACAAGTGGTCCCTGGACCCCAGAGTGGACCTGGTCATGAAAGGACAGCTGGAGTACAGTCTACGCATACAAAAGGTAGTGCTTGCCATTGCTGGTAAAGGAGGGGGGGTCCTTACAGTCAAGCTCTGGTGTTACATTTGTTTTTATTCTTGAATGTTGTTTAGAGATATTGTAATATTACCAATGCATTAAGCATGTCTTTAAGCATTGTGTTAATAAAACTAAGTTTTGCAGTAGGTTCAAGCACACATGCAAAACTGAAAACATGAAAATATGGGGCAAAGCCCATTTATTTTAGTAATCCAGTTTAGACTGAGAGACCATGTAAAGGCTCAGAAAGCCTTTGCAAGGATTCTGGATTCATTAGCCGATTAGAGTGTGACACTTTGAGTCTAGTATATTGAACCTCTTCACAATATTCTACTTCCCCATTAACCTGAGTCATAATAGCTGCTAGCAAACACGTGCAACTCTTTAATCATAGTAATCCAGCAAACAAAGCACTCACAGCAAAACAGAAACAAATGCAGCTGCCGTCTCTTAAACTCATCCAATCCTGTAAAACCGTGGAACTCGGCCAGGGAAATGTTTAACAGCCTAACGGAGCAGAGGCGTGCCGTGTCTGCTGTACTGTTTGACCGCACAGTAACCAAACTCACAGACGTGAGGACGCAGGAATTGAGAGATGAATAGTGGCAATTGATGGAGGATGTGGCGCCAGTGTGGGAAACACTCAATTGTGCAACGACCATCATGTCTGCTGAGACTGAGGTGTCCATATCAGACACACATCCCATCACCTTCAGCCTGATCAACGTGCATCTGGAGACAGACGAGGAAGCCTCCAGCAAAGTGGGGAAATTCACATCCAGAGTGCTCTTTACTGAGTGGAAGGATGAAGGTAAGGTCAATCCATTTATGTAATTATTGCAGATATGTTTAACTGTATGCGTTGCACACAAAGCACTTGTTTGACAATTGTAGTTTTTAACTCCCATCTCATCTAATAATTAATATCAAACAGTCTGTTAATGAGTTAAACTAGTTCATTCATCTGTTCAAGTAAAATAAACTTTGTCTTTGCAGCAGGAAGCCTTGACATGGTGAGTTCCTGTCCACTCTGCTGCCTTGCAGCCCAGACGCCGCAGATCTTGGATGGCCTGTCTGAGCTGTTAGCTTCGTAAATAACGTTGCTCACGTGATTGTCTGTGAAGCCAGGAACAGATTCACAGCGTGAAGGCGCAGCTGGTCGCTTCTAGCCTGGCCTGTCAGACTCCTGCTCTGTTTAATTCTGCACAGAGAAAGGGTCTGGGAACTCTCTTATTCAAATAACCTCACCCCCGACATTTCTAACCGAGCCAATCAGCGCTGAGTAGCGTACGTCACACACCACAACGCCGAGTTTGTCATAAACATGGCAACTGAAGTGGAGTTCGCTGCCGCTCTGTCCTCTGTTCTAAATGACTTGAATGTCTTTAAAACCACAAGTAGAAACGCTAAAAGCCTTTTGACACCACCACCACCTGGAGTGGCTATTTCTCTTATCTAATGGCACCATCTAGTGGCTGACAAGTGTATCACACAAAAACGCTGTTCCTTTGTTTTTTTAGATGGCAACTTCACGTTTCTGTTTATAAATGTGCTTCTGTAGCAGACAAACAGCTAAAACACGTTGTTTTACGAGTATTATTCTCATGTCATGTTGTGTTTTCATATATTTATATTTTAGAGACTTTCTTGTCAGTGAAAAGTTCATCAACTCTGCATCAGCCGAGGTATTCCTTAAATATGAAGCGTCTAAGCGGCAGTCTAACGCTATATGTTAGTTCTGGTCGGTGCTCAGCTTCCTATTGCTCGGAGCTCTGCCGGGCAGGGGCGTGCTTAGCAAAAAAAAAAGATGGATTGCTTATATTATATCACAGTACATGAAAAGATAATCACTTTTATGGATTTCTGACAAATCATGCATAATTTCTGAAAGAGGAAAACTCCAGAAAGCTGCTTTAAATCACATTTGAATCTAATTTATTATTTTTTCTTTACAGATTGTTTCTGATGACCCGACGACCATGCTGGATCCCAGACAAGAGCACCTGGGGTTTCTGACCCCACCAAGGAGGGTTGCAGCCCACGCTAACTGATTGAAGTTCTGGCTGAAGCAGATGGGTCAGGGCCAGCAGGACGTGGTCAGGGCAGTGCCAGTTAGGGAGCTGTGATTCAGAGATGCAGTGCTGATGCTTTATTCCTAAACCACCAGAAGCACCGATGACGTAGAGAAAGAGGTGGACAGCTTTCTGAAGCATCCGCCACCACTCCTTGATTCCAGTCCCACAACACCGTGAAAAGTTAATGAAGGAAGGCTTCTAAGGCTGACAAACCTGACATCAAAGTACTTGGCCATACCAGGCCCATCGGTCCCTTCTGAGAGCATTCTCAGCAGCAACCCTATCCCTAACCCTGACTGTAAACCGGCTGCACACCCGACTTTACTCCCGAGCGGGTTGATATGCTGATATTGATGAACATAAATCGATGAGGAGCACGAGGGATGTTTTGTTTTGTTTTACAAAGACAGACACATCTGTCATCAGCAGCCTATATTGCCTAGAGCTACAGTCCTGTCTACTATTGTAATCGGGAAGTTGTCACATTTCCCAGTTTGAAAGGGATTAAAATTACTGCTAGTAGCCCACAGGTGAGGCCATATTTACATGTCAGAATTGATTTAATTTATTGTATTATTCTTCTGTGTTAAAGTACTATATATTGTATTTTTCTGTTCAGGAATGTCTACTTTATGCTGCTGCTGTTTATGCTTCCAGTGTTGCAGACCAGAAGCCAGAATTGAGTTTTATTTAAGTAGCCTGTCTAATATTTTCTAATCAGAATATGTTTGGCATGACTCCAGATGTTATTCCTTGCCTTCAAGTGAGCTCAGAATAAATATTTGATTAAGGAATATGATTTGCATGTTTCCTTTATATTGTATAGAAGATAGCATTTTACGTTACGTGTACAGTAGATGGAACCTTTTCAGACTGAAAGTCAGCTTATCAGAAAAACTGTCACTTATCACTTAATTGATCAATAAGACGAAACAACTATTAATGAGTTACTCAATACTTTGCATTCCTATGTCAGAGGAAAGATCACCATGTTCCCACCCCTTCTCTCAGGTTCAAGCCTGCTTTCTCCAGTCAGTGAACCACTCTGCCATCTACTGGTCATTTCTTAAAACCCTTTGAATACATTTTCTTGGCTCATAAACACATAAAATTTTAGATTGTTAAAAATTAAATGTAGTTCTATATTTTATAACTACAGGATCCTGAGATACTCTAGTTCTCCACAGAAAAACACATTTGTCCCTTCAACACAAGTTCAGACTAAATCCAAAGAAAATTGAGATTCAAACGCACCAAATAACATTTTGTAAGTGGTTATGTTTAATAAATTATCAGTAGAATGTAGGGTTTATATACAAAGAGACAAATATAAATACACAAACAAACACACACAAATCTAGATACACACAAGTCTAGATGCACACACACACACACACACACACACACACACACACACACACACACACAGAAACCTAGATACACACACACAAAGACAAATGTAGATACACATAAATCTGAATACACACACAAATCTAAGCACACAGATCTAGATACACACACACACACACACACACACACACACACACACACACACACACACACACACACGTGTAACGTCCAGCAATGGTCAGTTTTCACCTACAGATTGACCTACATGCCACCGGTCATCTGCAGACATAAATTCCATTCTCTAAAGTGGATTTTACATCCTAGCTTCCAACAAGCCCAGAAGGATACTGCAGCCTTGTTGACATTTCAGGAGGAACAACTTTATTGTCAGTGCCCCAGCGTCCTGAAGCATAGAAATCTTTCTCCACAGTACAGCCTGACCAAGGTTAAACACACAAAACATATAGGACAGCAGATACAGGCAGACCACAAGAGCAGCCATCATCAGCTCTCATTATGAGCTTGTTATGAGCCACATAGCCCCGCTCCTCCTGCTGCTGCAGTTCATGTCAGACGTAGGATGCTTTCTCGCTCACAAACTTTGTTTACAAAACACTTCCAAGTTTGCAAACTAATACAACACCCAAAAAATATCTATGTTTTGGCTGCATTTTGTGAAAATAAACGGGAACAGAGCTAAATGTAACACCAGTGTTCAGATTTTTGTCACTAACCATGGAAACACCAGTAATATGATAAAACTCCCCGTCGTTCATGGCATCTACTTGTGAGCCGAAGTGTGGGCCGTGTTTGAATGCAAAAGCAGACCTGACCCACTATGGCAAGCAATTTTAATTTTTTCTTACTTTTTCAACATTTTCGACATTTGATTGAGTTCTACAGTTTCTTTGATGGACCATGAGCCAACCCTGATACCTCCACACATCCAATTCACCATTCAACACGGTCATTCACACCTCCAACTCCCCAGGAGTCAACTCGCTAAAGCCCCACCCCTTCTTTACATCTTCCAGTCCTGATGGAGGATGTAAACAAGATATTCAAGAAACTGGGTCTTAATTTGTGTTGAAATGTATAGCATCATTGGGGAGGTCTTATCTTCAGAACCAATCAATTCCCACATAGCTTTTTCGGACTGTTATATTGAGGACTCCTTGCAGAAAGAAACGTTCTTTGGTCTACCTTTTTTTCAAATTCTGGAAAGACAAAAACCAACTTTAAATTTCTCTACTTTTTTTGGCAGATATTTGAGGAAGTGCTGGAATTGCTTAGCACATTGCACCATTTAGAATGACAAGATTCTAACTTAGATTTATTTCCCCTTTCACTACATATTTTAGAAAGTGTTGTCTATTTGGCAACATTGTGGATGACAAAAATCTATCTTTGAAATATTCGCCTTTTACCACAGTTCAGTTGAGGAAGTTGAGGAAGTGTTTAGTTAACCACTTTACATTTTGGAGGACAAAACCTAACTTCAAGGTAAGTTCCACATTTTAACTAATTTCCTTTGTGATTCTTTTTAGTCCATTGTTAAAACCATGTTACAGAAATACTGATGCATATTTTTTAATGAAGTCACCCAAGTTAACTTGCTCATCACTTTTGTATAAACAGTTATTTTGAAACAAGTTGTGAAGAGTACAGACAAGTTATCATGTCTAAAAATGTTCCTCTTCTAAAATGGTCCTTGTCTAATATTTTTTCACAGACAAATGAGGCCTAGAAGGATTTGTCCTGAAAAGGATGCGTTGCATTTCATTGTTTCTGGAAATGACAAAGAATTTTTCAGAAGAAACTGATCGGCAAAGAGAAAGGTATGTTTTAGTTTAAAGAGCAAATTGCAGGTAAATTTTTTTTCTAATTCATATAAAATATTGTCCAAAAAATACTACTTTAAATGTTTATTGTAGGTATTTAATTTTAAAATACAAAACAAAACAGATTTGAGTAAAAAGTGGCCTTTTTTAGCAAAGCTTTTAAAAACACTATTTTTTTTGTCTTAGCCTCTGACGTAATTTAAGGGAGTTCTAAGCTAGGTTCTGCCTCAGCTCAGTGTAAAGCGTGCAATTTTAGGTTAGAGAGGTCGTGTTATCGAGGTAGTGTGTGTTCATTAGTTTATGATTGTGTTAATTTTGATAAACTATTGTTTGTGAAGCCTGTAAAAATTCCAGCCTCTGCACATATGACATCCACAAGTTTCCAAATAAGTACAACATGCCTTTATCTCCATGCCTGGGGGTGTGTTGTGCGACTGAAAAGATGGGACTTCTGGAACCCAAACCGGTGTCGATACCAACTCATGGAGGTCAGCGCTGGCCTCCAGAGACCTGTGGCGAAGTTTTAAAAAATTAATTGCGGATTTTTAGAACTCAGATCATTGTAAGAACAAGATCAGAACCGCCGTGTGGACCTCCAGGAGAGGATGTGCTGCTGTTAAAAATACCAGCGAGCCAGTCGAGCCGTTTTTGGGTTGGATCCAGCTCAGAGCAGCGCACAGAACCTCCAGAACCGGATCACAGGTTCCTCTGTGTCAGAGCCATATTAGAATCCAGGTTTGTCTCTGGATTAAGCTAACAGGACTCCCTTCGCTTGCGTCACGTTGGTTTGGCAGAAAAAAAAACATTTTCCTCATATAAATGACTCTAAATGCTTAAATAATTAATGTATGTGTAAAAAATTTTTTAAACAAGTTTCTCTTATGTTTCTCTGAACATTGGTTCATGGGTGTCTCTTATTTGCAATTTGCTCTTTAAGAATTAGATTTTCTGTTCATATTGTGTTTATGTTTATGTATTTAGCAGATGCTTTTGTCTAGGACTTACAAGTGATAATCGGCATGTTGCCCTTGAGGCTAACAACAACAATAACAACAACTTGACATCAATCATGGAGAGGAGGGAACAAAGGACTGGACGGTAGGGGGGGGACGGGTGCTAGTTTAGAAGATGCTCTCTGAAGAGCAGGGTCTTCTGGAGTTTCTTTAAAATTTAAAAGGAAGCCACCGTTCTGGTAGTGCTTGGAAGGTCATTCCACATTTGTGGAACGATGCATGAGAAGAGTGGATTGTCCTGAGCGTGGTGTAGGCACTGCTAGCCGACCATCCTGTGATGACCGGAGCGGCCGGGCCGAGACGTAAGCCTTTGCAAGAGGATTCAGGTAGATGGGAGCCGTACCATCTCGGACTTTGTATGCTAGTGTTAGCAATTTGAATTTGATGCATGCTGCTAGCGGTAGCCAGTGGAGCTCAATGAACAGAGGGGTGACGTGTGCTCTTTTTGGCTTATTGAAGACCACATGCGCCGCTGCGTTCGGGACCATTTGAAGAGGTCTCACAGTACAGGCTGGAAGACCAGTTAGAAGGGCATTGCAGTAATCGAGGTGGGAGATGACAGTAGATTGCACCAGGAGCTGGGTGGCATGTTGTGTTAGGTATGGTCTGATCTTTCGTATGTTATACAGCGCAAAGCAGCATGAACGAGCAACAGAGGCAACATGATCTTTAAAGGTCAGATGTTCATCAATCACAACACCCAGATTTCAAACTGCCTTTTAAGGAGCCAGAGATAGGAAGTCATTTTGGATTGAGATATTGTGCTGTATGGATGGTTTTGCTGGGATGACAAGTAATTCAGTTTTAGAGAGGTTGAGTTGGAGATGGTGGGATTTCATCCATTTTGATATGTCAGAGAGACTGTTTGATATTCGTGTGGTCATCCTGCGGAAATGACAGACCTGGGTGTCGTCTGCATAGCAGTGGTAGGAGAAGCCATGTGATCGAATGATTTCCCCCAGTGAGGTGGTGTATATGGCAAAGAGAAGAGGTCCTAGTACAGAGCCCTGGGGGATTCCTGTGGCAAGAAGGTGCACGGTAGAGGATTGTCCAAGCCAAGATTCACTGAATGATCGTCCTGTGAGGTATGATTCAAACTAGGCGTGTGCTTTCTCTGTGATGCCCATGGTAGAGAGTGTGGGCAAAAGGAAGCCATGGTTGACAGTGTCAAATGCAGCCGATAAGTCGAGCAGGATAAGCACTGAGGATTTGGCAGTCGCTCTAGCTTCTTTTAAGGATTCCGTCACTGCTAACAGAGCAGTTTCAGTGGAGTGGCCCTTTTTGAACCCAGATTGGTAAGGGTCAAGCAGACAGTTTTGTGAGAAGTATCCTGTGATCTGCTTGAAAGCCACCCTTTCAATGATTTTGGACAGAAAAGGGAGGAGAGATAAAAATGTTCCTCTTCTAAAATGGTCCTTGTCTAATATTTTTTCACAGACAAATGAGGCCTAGAAGGATTTGTCCTGAAAAGGATGCGTTGCACTTCATTGTTTCTGGAAATGACAAAGAATTTTTCAGAAGAAACTGATCGGCAAAGAGAAAGGTATGTTTTAGTTTAAAGAGCAAATTGCAGGTAAATTTTTTTTCTAATTCATATAAAATATTGTCCAAAAAATACTACTTTAAATGTTTATTGTAGGTATTTCATTTTAAAATACAAAACAAAACAGATTTGAGTAAAAAGTGGCCTTTTTTAGCAAAGCTTTTAAAAACACTATTTTTTTTGTCTTAGCCTCTGACGTAATTTAAGGGAGTTCTAAGCTAGGTTCTGCCTCAGCTCAGTGTAAAGCGTGCAATTTTAGGTTAGAGAGGTCGTGTTATCGAGGTAGTGTGTGTTCATTAGTTTATGATTGTGTTAATTTTGATAAACTATTGTTTGTGAAGCCTGTAAAAATTCCAGCCTCTGCACATATGACATCCACAAGTTTCCAAATAAGTACAACATGCCTTTATCTCCATGCCTGGGGGTGTGTTGTGCGACTGAAAAGATGGGACTTCTGGAACCCAAATTGGTGTCGATACCAACTCATGGAGGTCAGCGCTGGCCTCCAGAGACCTGTGGCGAAGTTTTAAAAAATTTATTGCGGATTTCTAGAACTCAGATCATTGTAAGAACAAGATCAGAACCGCCGTGTGGACCTCCAGGAGAGGATGTGCTGCTGTTAAAAATACCAGCGAGCCAGTCGAGCCGTTTTTGGGTTGGATCCAGCTCAGAGCAGCGCACAGAACCTCCAGAACCGGATCACAGGTTCCTCTGTGTCAGAGCCATATTAGAATCCAGGTTTGTCTCTGGATTAAGCTAACAGGACTCCCTTCGCTTGCGTCACGTTGGTTTGGCAGAAAAAAAAACATTTTCCTCACATAAATGACTCTAAATGCTTAAATAATTAATGTATGTGTAAAAAATTTTTTAAACAAGTTTCTCTTATGTTTCTCTGAACATTGGTTCATGGGTGTCTCTTATTTGCAATTTGCTCTTTAAGAATTAGATTTTCTGTTCATATTGTGTTTATGTTTATGTATTTAGCAGATGCTTTTGTCTAGGACTTACAAGTGATGATCGGCATGTTGCCCTTGAGGCTAACAACAACAATAACAACAACTTGACATCAATCATGGAGAGGAGGGAACAAAGGACTGGACGGTAGAGGGGGGGACGGGTGCTAGTTTAGAAGATGCTCTCTGAAGAGCAGGGTCTTCTGGAGTTTCTTTAAAATTTAAAAGGAAGCCACCGTTCTGGTAGTGCTTGGAAGGTCATTCCACATTTGTGGAACGATGCATGAGAAGAGTGGATTGTCCTGAGCGTGGTGTAGGCACTGCTAGCCGACCATCCTGTGATGACCGGAGCGGCCGGGCCGAGACGTAAGCCTTTGCAAGAGGATTCAGGTAGATGGGAGCCGTACCATCTCGGACTTTGTATGCTAGTGTTAACAATTTGAATTTGATGCATGCTGCTAGCGGTAGCCAGTGGAGCTCAATGAACAGAGGGGTGACGTGTGCTCTTTTTGGCTTATTGAAGACCACATGCGCCGCTGCGTTCGGGACCATTTGAAGAGGTCTCGCAGCACAGGCTGGAAGACCAGTTAGAAGGGCATTGCAGTAATCGAGGTGGGAGATGACAGTAGATTGCACCAGGAGCTGGGTGGCATGTTGTGTTAGGTATGGTCTGATCTTTCGTATGTTATACAGCGCAAAGCAGCATGAACGAGCAACAGAGGCAACATGATCTTTAAAGGTCAGGTGTTCATCAATCACAACACCCAGATTTCAAACTGCCTTTGAAGGAGCCAGAGATAGGAAGTCATTTTGGATTGAGATATTGTGCTGTATGGATGGTTTTGCTGGGATGACAAGTAATTCAGTTTTAGAGAGGTTGAGTTGGAGATGGTGGGATTTCATCCATTTTGATATGTCAGAGAGACCGTTTGATATTCGTGTGGTCATCCTGCGGAAATGACAGACCTGGGTGTCGTCTGCATAGCAGTGGTAGGAGAAGCCATGTGATCGAATGATTTCCCCCAGTGAGGTGGTGTATATGGCAAAGAGAAGAGGTCCTAGTACAGAGCCCTGGGGGATTCCTGTGGCAAGAAGGTGCACGGTAGAGGATTGTCCAAGCCAAGATTCACTGAATGATCGTCCTGTGAGGTATGATTCAAACTAGGCGTGTGCTTTCTCTGTGATGCCCATGCTAGAGATTGTGGGCAAAAGGAAGCCATGGTTGACAGTGTCAAATGCAGCCGATAAGTCGAGCAGGATAAGCACTGAGGATTTGGCAGTCGCTCTAGCTTCTTTTAAGGATTCCGTCACTGCTAACAGAGCAGTTTCAGTGGAGTGGCCCTTTTTGAACCCAGATTGGTAAGGGTCAAGCAGACAGTTTTGTGAGAAGTATCCTGTGATCTGCTTGAAAGCCACCCTTTCAATGATTTTGGACAGAAAAGGGAGGAGAGAGATAGGTCGGTAGCTCTCCACATGATTTGGAGGAACAGATGTTTTTTTAGCAGCTGTTTAACCTGAGCATGCTTGAGAGAGGTAGGAAATGTACCAGATATCAGTGAAGCGTTGATCACATGTGTGACTGCTGTGGCTACTGTAGGAGCAATAGCTTGGAGCAGCTTAGTCGGAATGGGGTCAAGTGGGCATGTTGTAGGGCGGCTGCACGTGAGAAGCTTGGGCACACAGTTCTCAGTGAGAGGAAAAAGAGGAAAATGAAGCAGTAGGGCTTGAGACGGTTGAGCTAGAAGGAGTTTGTTGTAGAGAATGTTCAGGAGTGGCCAGTTGAGTAAACTGTTTGTTTATAGCTGCCACTTTGTCAGTGAAGAATGAGGCAAAGGTGTCAGCTGATAGATTGTTGGTTGGAGGTGGAGATAGAGGGTTGAGCAGAGTTTTGAATGTTGGAAATAGTTTCTGAGAGTCAGTAGAGCTGAGAATTTTGTCAGTGTAGAAAGCTTTCATTGCATCAGTGATGCTGGCAGAGAATGAGGACAGTAATTCATGAAATTTCAATTGATCACCAGGATCTTTTGTTTTGCGCCATTTCCGTTCCGGAGCTATAAGATTGGCGCTTAGAGACCAGAGGGTATCATTTAGCCAAGGGTGCGACTGAGAGGATCTAGCAGGTCTAGTGGCTAAAGGGCACAAGTTGTTAAGACAAGAGCAGAGTGTGGAGCAGAGTGACTCGGTGGCATCATTCACTTCATAAGCAATGTGCTGGGAGATGGAAGAGTGGAGACAACAAGAGAGAAGTGGTTGGGTGCCAGATTGCGGAGGTTGCGGCGGAATGAGACCACTGGGGAGGAAGCAGTGGACCTCCCTTGTAGTTGTGCTGAAATGGATGAAGTAATGATCGGAAAGATGCATCGGTGTGACAGAGATTGTGTCTATGGCAGTTTCTGGTGAAAATGAGGTCAAGTGCTTTTCCAGCTTTGTGAGTTGGAGGACTTTGTACTAGTTTTAGATCAAATGATGACATTAGTGACAGGAAGTCTGATGAGCTGGATTTGTCCAGGGGAATATTCATGTCTCCAAGGACCATTGTGGGACAGTCATGCTCAGGAATGGAGGAGAGCAGGGTACCCAGTTCATCAAGAAAGTCTACGAATTGACCTGGTTGGCGATATATGACAACCAAAAATAATGTTTTCGGTACAGTTACCTGGATGGCATGGTATTCAAAGGAGTTGTATTTAGTGATGGGTAGCAACTGACTGTATATCCACTTGTTGGAAATTAACATGCCCGTTCCACCACCTCAGCCAGATGCACGAGAAGTGTGGGAGAAAGTGTGGTTAACTGAGAGAGCAGATGGGGTAGCATTGTCACATGGTTTGATCCAGGCTTCAGTGAGAGCCAGTGCATTGAGTGACAGGTGGTTTGCATATGCGGTAATGAAGTCTGCTTTGTTTACAGCCGATTGACAGTTCCACAGTCCCATAGACAGGTGGATGTCTTCAGGGGGAGTTGGTTTTAGTGAGAGGAGGTTTTGAAGGTTGCGAAAGCGGTTTGCTGTGTGTAACCTTCCTCTGAAGCCAGTGATCACAGGTATAGGATAATGGCACATTTTGCAAGGTGTCAATGGAGCAGCATCTGGGTTGAGCTTGTTTGCTCTGTGGACACGCGCAGGTAGACACGTATGTCTTTACCCCGGAGGGGCTGAGACACAAGGGCTGACGCGTCAGTTATGCCACCAAACTTATGCTGTGCTACTAGTTGGAAACGTGTTCATGCAGCAGCTGATTGAAATAATTGAGACCTAGATCACCTGATGAGTGTTTTAGGGAGGGGAGAAACAGCTCTTTCACAGACCCTGATTGCACTTGTTGTTTTCAGTTGGCCCAAACCGGAGCTACTAGACAGGATTACTCACAGAGGAGTTTTCTCTTTTCCCAATGGAAGATAGTGCTCGTTTTTGTCTTCTTAAACTTTTGCTTTGCACTAACAGACACTCAAGGCCCTTCGGTGCAGATTCAAGTCTGTTTGGAAGTGCTTGCAGTTGCTTTTTAAGTGTGTATGTGTATAACTTGTAAAGTTTGAGTAGTTTAAAGACACTATGGGAAGTATACATACATATATGCATTCTTGTCAGTTCTTAAATGCAAAGATCACTGCTACTCTCATCATATTTTTGCAGGTTATGTTGTTATTGCCACTAAAAATATTGATCCAGGAGAATTCTTGCTGTAGTATGTTGGAAGACATATCACTGGGCTGGAAGGAGAGGCCCTGTATAAATGTTACTAAGATGTGGATGCAACATTTTTGTTTTTCTATTGCTTCCAAGGAGAAACTTTTTGGTAAGTACAATTACATGAACCTCCTAACTAGAACTAGAACAAGTTCATGAATAAGTGTAAGTAAGATGCCCTGATTTGCAGTGTTGACGGCAGTAAAGATACGGCAATACTTGGAAGATTCCTAAATGACGATCACATCAAGCCAAACAGCAAAGTGAAAATAGTAAGTCACACAGAAGTGTTATGTAAAAACATTTTAAACAATATACTGACTAACTCATTTGTGTCTGTTCCTTTTTGGTCCAAAGGTACTGGATGAGCAGAAAATACCCCACCTGTGTGCATTTGCAATCAAAGAAATACTAGCAGGAGAAGAAATTGTTTATGACTATGGAGACTCTTAACTGCTCATGGCTACAGGTATTTATATTTTTATTTACATATACTGTTTTTATCCATTGCATGTTTTATTATATGCCATTAGTCTCAAGGATTACACCATTGTCATCTCTTAACATTAGTGAAATTGTAAATGTGTTTTGGAAACTGGTATGAATGTCTTTAAAACACATTGTAACACTTAAAATGCTTTACAAAGCCTATCAGTGAGTAAAATAAAACTTACATATTTAAATGTCATACTGTAATTGTCTGGGGTTTTTTTTTTTTGAAAACCTCTGTGTCTCCTTGTAGTGAGCGCATGGAAAAGAAGGTGAAGCTATGTGGAGGTTTTTTTGCCTCCATGTCTATACACAGAAAAATTTCCTATTATGTTTAAACAATTGTATGCTTTTCATATTCTCATGTTTTTCTATTGTCCGATTGTTTCTTTAATTTTTAAGGAATCCCGTTGGAGGAGATTTCTCGAAAATTTTGACTGAGCCTGGTGTGGTGAAAATTGATGCCTTGTATTCAACCAAAAACAGAAGATTGCAAATGGATGCAATGCAGCAGAAGTGTTTCCAGGACTCATTCACAACTGCCTTGTGGCAGTTAAACAAGTTTCTAAACATATTTCTGAAAAGGAATTGGAAATAGCTAATTTTCTTTGTTCAAAAAGTTACAAACTGAACATCTGTTGCAGCCCCTTACTGTGTTGGAAGACACATTTTGCCTACTTCGTCTCCCTTCTCTGCGAATATAATCTCATGGAACTGATTGAAAATAAGGATTTTCCTGAGAGACAAAACTTGACAGAGCAACGAAGACTACAGATCTGCCAAGAGTTGTTGCTGGGACTTGAGGAACTGCACTCACATGGAATTTTGCACAGAGATTTGAAGCCTGAAAACATCTTGTTCGGTAAAAGAAATGCATGGCAAAACTATCCTGTTATTTTTACTTATAAATGTAAAAGATCAAAATGTTAGTTTTAATGATGTTATGGTTTAATGTTTGAATTAGTAAATGACCATTTTTTTTCTTTTTTGCACAGACATCAACAATAAACTTTATATTGGAGACTTTGGAGCAAGCAGGAAACTGGATCTTGCACAGACGACGTTGTTGACGTTTTCACAAATGGCTGGATCCTTTTCCTGGTCCAATTATGAGGATGTTGGAGGTCTAAAGTATAGATACAAGAAGGAATCAGATATCCAAGTATGTTCACCTTGTAAATGTTATATGATGGTTTAATTTGATCTATAATCAGCAAGTGTTTGAATTTCTTCAAATGTAATAATAGAATTACACCATGGTAAAATGCCCATTTGTCAACATTCAAAGTATTTAAATAGGGATGAGCGGGTATACCACTATCTGTATCTGTTCAACCATCTAAATTATCTGTATCTGTAGGCCTACTCGGAGCGGGCGTGGCCTAACCCGGAAGTGTGTGTAGTTTAACCGGAAGAGGGTGTGGTTTACATCAATACATTATTTTAAGTCTGAAATTGATATGGATTGATCAGAAGTTGCTATGCATATTGTTTATTTGAAAACTATTTACAGAGCAGCCTCAGAGTTTAAATTAAATATTTTGATCCCAATAGTAAAGGAATTATTACAAAACAAGTTTTTCAATAAAATCAGAACATTAATATTTAATTGCATGAATTAATACATCTGAACTCATGCAGTAGGAACTAGAAAATATGAAATACTAGAACCAGACACAACTTTTTTTTGATTAAACTGATTTTTTGTCTAACGTTCTTGGCATTTTTCCCCACACAAAGTTAAACAAAACAATGTTGATTAAGGTGTGTGTGTGAGAGAGAGAGAGATAGAGAGGGAGAGTAAAAAAAAAAAAAAACAGACCGGAGCGGAGGCAGTAACTGACGCAGCACGAGCCGTTTTCAGCTCTGTCTTGTCAAATGCACCACGTACTTTACGAAAAAGTAACTTTAAATATCAAACCAAAAAAGAGGCGAAGTAAAGAAACCCTAGGGAGTACTGAAGAAACGTGAGCAACAGTGAAGCAAGCACAGAGAGATCCGTTACTGTCTCTTTGTGTGTGTGGATGGGCCGGACGGACTGAGCTCCCGGCTGCAGAGTTTTGTGTGTTGGGAGGGGTGGGTGCTCTATGTGACTGGTCAATCACAGAGCGTGAAGACAGTCAGTTACCCAATGAGGATTTTCCTTCAGCACGATTACAGATATTTACGAGTTTTACTTGTTTCATGCTCGTATTCGTCAAAAATGCTTTATCCGTACTGGATACTCGTCTGAAACGAGTATCCGGCTCATCACTATATTTAATCAAATGTTTTAATTATAATTATTGTTATTCACTATGTTCAATATGGCTATTTTAGTGCAAATTACATAATGCAATGAGCTGTCATTGTGATACTTAATTACTTTGTTTTGATGTATTGTTTCATTTTAGGTAGCTGGTTGCTTGCTGCATTACATCTTGACTGATGGGCAACATCCCTTTCAAAGTAGATTACCCTACTCTGACGATCCCATTGGACTATCTCAAAATGTCAGAATGGGCAACTTCACGCTTCAATGTGAGGAAAAATGGAGCAGCCAAAAAGGTATTATTACCAGGATGCTAAGTAGGTCACTTGAAGAACGTCCCACCATCGAAGAATGTCAAGGCTGTCACGTGTAAGTACCATAATTTTAAATTTAATTTTTTATAGATTGGAAAACACCATCTTAAATCATTTCCATGAAAGTTGATTAACCTTATTTTAAATTATTTCAGGTTTGACACATCAGTCTGCTGGTACTGAAACAATGAACAAGGCTGGGAATGAGAATCAAAATAAAGCATGTTTTTACAAGTGGCTTGGGCGATATTAGGTTCATTTACTGTAACACACCAACAATTTTGCTACAGTAGAGATTTTGTTTTACTGTTCATTCCAATGCCTACATTTTCACTGTCACTTGATATAAGAATCGATCCACTAATATTTGTTTTTACAGATTGGAACCCATACATCAAATTGCTGTCCTCAGAAAACAGATGAGCTAGACATTGATGAGGATAATGTCAGTGATCAACCTGAGATTTCTGGCAGTATCCTGTTGACTTCATCTTCTGTCTCAGGGGAGGACTTTTCTGAGTGTGAAATGGTAATTAATGGTTTGAATATCTAAAGAGTGGTGAAGAATTTCCTAACATTGTATGAAATATTGATGCATGTATCATCATTTTATTGACGATAAACAATCAGAAGAACAAATGACAGGAAAAGAAGTCATCTCTGGAAAACCACCGTATAAAATCAAACAGTCTTCACATGATGGTAACTCTCAACAACATAACGTCACAGTAAAAATGTCTTAAAACACTGCACACCAACGTGTCTATGATAAGAAGAATTATTGCCTTTACTGTGAAAAGCCGTACACAAAAATCACAAGACATCTGAAGCAAAAGCAGTAAGATAAACCTGATGTTGCCAAGGCACTTGCGCACAAGAAAGGATCAGCCATGCACTGCTTACTTTTGACCAAAGTAAGAAACATGGGAAACTAAAACCACAACTGTTCTGTCCTGTCCTCTGGAAAAGGACAAATTGTACCAAAAAGGCAAGCAACGTATCCATCAGGTGCAACAGACTACCTGCCTTGCAAGTTTTGTTTTGCTATGTGCATCAAGACCGATCTCTGGAGACACCACAAGCATTGTAGACTGCAAATTAAAGAGGACAAGGCTGTGAAAAGAAGGATTCAGGCAAGTTGTTCACTGATGTTACCAATGGAGAACACAGTTTCCAATGGTCTTAAAACCGTTCTCCAGGAAATGACATATGATAATGTAACTCCGTTAGTAAAGGCGGACACCCTTATTATATCACTGGGAGAGAGAATGTTCCTTAAAAATGGAAAAGTTGTACGACATCGAGCAGACATCAGAAATAAGATGAGGGAACTTGCCAGACTTGTTATTATTGCAAGAAATCTAGACAAGTTCATCGTTTTTTTTGAAGGACTTGATTTGCCCTGGAAAATTCAACACAGTCCTTGAGGCTGTAAAACAGATAACTGGGTTTAATAAATTATCAAACAGATTCTCAGTATCCTCAACAGCACGTAAACTTCGCCATTCTCTTGTATAAGTGTCATACATTTTGCAAGGAGAGGCTCTGCATCAACAGGATGATGATTTAAAGTCAAAAGCAGAGCAATATATCAAGCTAATTGAACTGGAATGGATAACACATGTGTCATCCAATGCCCTAAAAACTCTATACCGGAAAAAATGGAACAGCCCTCAAATACTGCCTTTGTCAGGAGACATAAAAAAACTTCAGGACTACCTAAAATGCCTTGAGGTGGTCCACAAAAAAATCTTACTGACCAACCATCACAAAAATCATGGAGTGAGCTCTCTCAAATCACTCACACAACTGATACTGTTCAATTGTCGTTGACAAGGTGAAGTTTCAAGAATGGAACTCAACACATATTTACAGAAGAACAAACACAACATGCATGATGACGTTTTGGAGAGCCTCTCGCCATTTGAAAAAAAAAACTTTGTGAGAATCTCATCGGGGGGAGGTACGAGGGAAAAGAGGCCGCAAAGTACCTGTGCTGTTCCCGTTAAATATAAAAGAATCTGTAGAACTTCTTATAAAAACAAAAGAGGCTGGGATTTCCCCCACTAATCCCTACATTTTTGCCCGTCCGTTTTATGGCTCACAAGAGAGCATTCGTGGATGTGATAGCTTGAAGCAGTTTGCAGAAAGCTGTGGAGCTAAACACCCGGAAAATCTCACATCAACAAAACTACGAAAGTATGTAGCCACGATTTCACAGCTCCTTAACCTGCAAAACCATGAATTAGACCAACTGGCCACTTTTATGGGACATATGTGCATAGGGAGTTTTACAGACTACCTGAAGAAACTCTCCAATTGACAAAAGTCAGTAGACTTCTGTTTGCTCTGCAAGGTGCAATGGGTAAATTCAAGCAAAATCCCTGGAAAACATCACACCTAACAACTGTAAGTGAATGATTTAATTTTTTTCTTAATGTATTAGATAACGTAAGGTGAAAACTGTTTAAAATATAGGTTTATTCACTTAAAACATTTTATTGCAGCTGAAAAATAATCAAGTGACTCATATGGAGATACACAATGTGAGGCAACTGCTACCACATGTCAAAAAGGTAAGTTTTTCCACTATATTCACTGTAAAAATGGTAAATTAAAATCTACTCATTAACCCTTTAAGACCTGCCATAGAACAAGTTCGCCAGAACTTATATTTACATTTTTACATGCTGTGGTGCCATTTTTTGGAGTATTTCAACTTTGTATTCATCAATACAACCATTACATTCTAAATTATAATTATATAAATGTAAAATTTTCATAGCAACAAAATATTTAACTAACAAATGCAATTATCTATACTAGGGGTTGTATGAACTAGTCGACTTCACGGCTCTGTAGTGACTTTTTATGCCTGTCATCGACTAGTCGCTGTCACGTGATAATGACTGACAAGATGCAGTCCTCCAGCAGGTGATGAGCCCCTGCGTCGGGAGGCGGAGGCGACGCGCTGTGCCAGAGCGTTGGTACTGACACTGGCGGTAAAACGGACATTTAACCAAACTGTGACCTTTTCCCTCTTGCAATTTTACCTTCCCCTCACCCCCATCCTAATCTTAACCAGTTTGCGCATGCAAAGCTCTGATCGTTGACGCGCTGCTCCAGACATCTGCGTCCTGAGCACCGCCAAATCAGGTGTCACCACCTCAAAAACAAATTAAACATGCGATCGTTCATGTCGGCTCATTTCCTTTCATGTTTTCTGACTGTTATTTGTGCCTGATGCGTTTCGCTGCTGTGGAGCGAGGCTCTTCACCTGTTTTGTTCTCCGGTGACGCACCCCTAAGATTCCACTATCTCCGCTCCGGCACGAACTCCGCAGCAAAAACGGTCCCGTTGTAGTCGGCCGGCGAGCAGCGGCACTCCGCTGTTTTTGCGGTCAGTAGATCTTTTAGAACTGCAGTTCAAAGGTAACTCATAAGGTGAATATATATGAAGCCATGTAGCAGTTTCTTTAGGACTGAGAGGAGATGCAGGAAGATAATAAACAGGCAGGACAGAAAAATAGTCAAATAAAAACAAGTTTGTTTTTGTACCTGCTGGTTGCAACAAACAGACACCATTGAAGGTAATCAGAAGTGAGGAACAGAAAATGAAATAATTATTTTAATGTTTAGAGCAGCAGGAACTCCGAGAGGCTGCAGGCGCATCAGTTTGCTACTGCTGCGCAGGGGGAGGGGGGAGAGGACTGAAGTAGGATGCAGAAATTACCGTTGTTAAAAGAGATGTTAGAACAAGTGGGCGCAGTTTTAATTGTCAAAAACTCCAGCGAACCTACCGACCCCCCCGGCCGCTTCAGGTGTATGACGTCATCAACGACTAGTCGAAGTCGACTCGATTTTCATTACTTGACTGTCGACTTTAAAAAAATTAAGTCATGCAACCCCTGATCTATAGAGACATTGAAAATCGTTTTTTGTTTTTACACATATTTTTCATCATACAGAAATACCACAGCTTTATCCCTCAAAATTGTCAATAGAAAAAAGTTTCACAAAATCCTTTCGAACAACCACAAATTTATTTGAAGTGCTTCCATAAAATAGTTTCCGAGATACACTCATTTATATAAACTGTAACACTCATTTATATAAACAAAAACAAAAATGATAATCTGCAGGAGTCTAATATAATAATGTTGAATATTTTTAGCTAATTTTTCGGTAGTATGCAGCTTTCCTTTTTTCTCACTAATAATAATAATAATAATAACAATACTAAAGAATATTGCATAAATATGTACATGAGGAAACTTAAAGTGAAACTTAAAAATCTTCTGGCGCTGTAATGGCGTCATCTGCTTTGAGGAGGGAGGATGTACTGTTTGGCGGGTCTACGATTCATCAAAACGTTCGTAGTGGTGTGTGTGTGTGTGTGTGTCAGAAGTTTGTAGTGGGTGTGTGATGTGTGTAGGATGTGTTTGTCTAAACGTATTATTGCGAAAAAGCACAAGAAAAAAGCTTAAAGACTGGGACTACAAAGAACTACAATTCGCGGGAAAATGACATCAAAGCAAGCGATTTGGTGAGTGACAATCATGTGACAGTTCACGTTGACAACGTGATGACATTTATTCTAGCGTGTGAAGCCCCGTGAGGTGCAGAACAGAACGACACAGCGTCTGTGTCTGAATGAAAATGCTTTTCTTATTTGCGCATTTTGGTTGTTTTTTTGCAAACTCATTAGTGGATATACGCAGCACTCTGGGACGTGTTCAGTGTGTGAGATTTAAGTCCAAGTCCTCCGGTTTGATATGCAAAAAAAAGTTTTGTTCTATCTTATATAGTTTCAGTTTTACAAGCATTTGAACACAGCTATGCAAATGGGAGCGCCGGTGCTCCCGCCGGTCTTAAAGGGTTAAATCCACTGTTTGTAAATCATTAAGTCAATTTTATCCCATGTTAACAACTTAAATATTGCCAACAGTGCTTTTTTCAGAAATTTCAAACGATAGACCCTGCAAAGAGAGCACAGCTGAATCAAAAAAGGCTACTGGGGGCATTAAAAAATCATCAGTGCCATTGATAAAAAAGGGTGAGTTACTCCTTGTTATGTTCTGTTTCTTTTCAATCTCCATTTGTTTTTTTCTTGTTTAATACACAGCTTAGCAATGTGTTATTTTTTATTTTTTTACCTTGAATTGCTGACAGTTTTTTGAGTGAGTTACTCATTTCACTCCGTATAAGGCAGAGGTAGGGAACCCCGGTCCTGGAGAGCCGCTATCCAGCACATTTTAGAGGTTTCCCTGCTTCAACACAGTTGGTTCACCTGTTCAGCTGCTCATCAGACTCCGCAGAAGCCTGTTAATCACCTGCTGATTGAAATCAGGTTTGTTGAAGCAGGGAAACCTCTAAAACATGCTGGATAGCGGCTTTCCAGGACCAGGGTTCCCTAACCTATATAGTTATAAATCTAAATTGAATATCTTGATATTTGTTGACCAGATTGTGCGTGATTTTTATTAATCCATTTATTACTTTCTCTTGTTAATTTACTAACAGGGAAACCCAAAAAGCCCTGGTCAGACTGAGAGAGAAGTCATTGGCGAGCATTTCAAGAACTTTCTAAAGGAAATGAAAATTCCAGGAAAAGCAGAGTGTCAAAGATGCCTAAATGACAATCAGCTTCTAAGGGATAAAGGAAGTGACTGGAAAGCAGTAAAATATTTTGTGCACAACAAAATTACTGCTATGAGGAGGTCTTTGTGCTAACAATAACAAGACCAGTAATCCTAAGTTCTTAAGTGTACAAACAATTGGTCATTTTATGTAATTTCATATGGATCCATCAAATATGCCTTCTCAATTTGCCAACATAAGTTACACTTTTTAATCAGTAAAAATTCAATTTTTTTAATCTATATTAATAATGCATGTACATCCTTGGAGACTGTACACATTGTTGCAATAGTTTAACACTGAGCTTTAAGAGGTTAAACAGTACTCTCCCCGAGTTATCCTTTGAATTCCAGAGAAACTGGTGACTCCTATTTACCTCATGCATTTTTCTTTACTTATTATTTTCAGTAACACATTGTCTTCATATCTACAATAGTTAAATATTGCTTCACTTTTTTATTTGCATTTCACAATTTAAATAGCAGTGACAACATTGCCAATTTGTAAAGTAACACTGCACATTAGCTGCATATATTTTAAATATTTTCTTATGTTTTCCATTTAGCTTGTTTCTTTTTAATTACCTACCCTCGAATGTGTATATCGCTCTATGTTAACTGAGTGGGAAATTGTGTAATTGGCCGTGTTCGAGTTGAGCTGCGCCTCGCCTGGAAAACAGATGAGAGCAGACGGAAGCAGCAGGGGGAGTGGCTGAAAGCCGGCGTTTAATGGGCTCGACACACGGGAGGCGACAAACGACCGCGATCAGCGAAATTTGTCACTGTCGCTTTTATGACCTGTCACACGGGAGGCGATCTGTGGCAGCGGCCAGCGGCAAAACCGTCTACGCGTTCTGTTCCATGGCGAAATCGAAACTTCCGTTGATCTGTTTGGCTGTGTCAGGCTGGAGGGAATTAAGGTTATTTAAGCGGTTCAGAGTTAATAAAGTGGTAGATATGATGTTTCACAAGTTGCTGCTAGAGTTATGTGAAATCTTACTTGTGATTTTACTATATAAAACATAATAATAATCAACTTCTCCCCCATGTTTGCTCGGAGATTTACGGAGCATCCTGCCCGCTCATTGGTCAGTGAATGAAACCTCCGTTGATTGGTCCTCGCCCGAGCGACAGCGATGAAAAGTTGAAGATGTTTCAACTTTCTGGGATCGCGTCGCTGGGTCGTCCATGCACGACACGTGCACGAGTGCAAACTTTCACACGCACGTTTTTCGCGTTTCGCTTGGTAGGACAGAGACCCGCGATTATCGCTTTGTCGCGCATGTCTCATTGAAAATGAATGGAGGAGAGGCGATGTCGCCTCCCGTGTGTCGGGCCCATAAGTCAGACACAATTTCCTGCATGTGTAGCTCGCGGGTGACGATGGCTGAAGATATCGCGTTAGCGTTCATAATAGCGGATGGAATAGATTCAGATGAAATACCTATTCTTCTACATGAAAATGGATATCTACTGCAAAGGTAGGTAACCGCATTAAAGTAGTACAATGCCAAATACAACCGCCATGTGCATTTGTTTCTTTGTTTAAGATCTAAAAACTCATTTGGAAATAGTCCAAAAGTTAAACAAGGCTGCAGATTTCACCTTTGAAGATACTTCTTCAGATGTAAATTAGAATAATAATGTGCATATAATTTCTTTCAGGTCTGAGCCAAAAGTGAAACACTTTGTTGAGAATGTTATTCCTTTATACCGTCATTCTGACTTTAAAAGCCACTTCAGACTTTCCAGAGGACAAGTGGAGGTAGGCTTTTGTGATGGTTACCACTACTCATATTTGCTCAGACATCATGTTCACTTTCTGACTTTTCCATTTAGGATCTAGTGATGGCACTGGGACCATTCCACATGGACAGACAGCACACCAAATTACCCCTGTCCAAAAGTGTTCTTGCCTGTCTGTGGACGCTGGCATAGAGCCCTGCACGGGCCTAAAATCTGAGCCCGTGTCCGGCCCGGCCCGAGGGGGTGGAGCCCCAGCCCGACCCGGCCCGAAAAGGTTTTCAGGATTCTCTGGCCCGGCCCGAGCCCAAGCCCGACTTTTTTTAACCAACTAAATGAAAACAAAGTGCGTCAATCCTGACCAATGTGTTAAAAGACGTGCGGGATCCGAGCGTCGCAGAAGCGCATGCGGGAAGCTTCCTCCCACTGAAGCGAGTGTTTTCCAAACCCTGTCGCTCAGAGAGACTTGTCACTTAGAAAATGTTCCCTGATTATGAAACTTTGGCTGAATAGCGCTTGTTCCTGTCTCCAATGTGCGACAGGAGCTTTCTGAGGAGAAGCCCAGAATCTCACAATAAGCGCATATGATTACGCACAAGCGTGGCCCAACACGGTCTCACAGTAAGACCGGGTTGGAACTGTTCAGGTTTACGCAGACAATCTTCACATAGAATTGACTTACAGATATAAACTAAATTCAGTAAAATATAAAGCATTTTATTGAAATATCCATTTTACAAATGGAAGAGCCGCGGGTTGCCGATCCCTGCTCTAGTTCAAGATATCATTAAAATTCCCAAAGTGCTGAAAAGATTAAAAATGGGGCTTTCCGTGCACATACAGTACATTACGGTAGCCACCGGGATTCCCTGTCTTGAGCGCAACGAACCACAACACAGATTCAGACGTGCTGAGTTTGTCATCCAAAATGCTCCGTTTTATAACTTTTGAATGGCTGATCAGATTCAAATAATTCCAACGGTTCCTAAAAGTACATAAAAGCAGCTTTCCAACGATCTATAGCATGAAGCAATCACAGTTAGGAAAAATATCGCTAGGAGGGGAAATCCTGCTGTACAGCCTGATTGAAACGGAGCGCAGCACCGCGGTGAAAGCGGATAACCTATAAAATGACATGTTGAGGACGCAAACTCAATACATCTCTTTTATTGTGAGGTAATAATTTCTCCGAGTTTTGCGGTTGCGGGCGGGAGTAGACATGTACGCTGCAGGTGCGGGCGGGAGTGTAACACACTCGTTGCGGTTGCAAGCCTTACAGGGATAATGGGCACCTCACAGCCAGCCAAAGGCACTTTAATAGAAAACTGAATGCGGCACGTGTTGTCATTGAACATGCATTTGGCATGCTGAATGCCAAGTTCAGGAGGCTCAAATGTCTTCACATGAAAGGCATAGGACATATTAGTGCAACTGTGACAGCATGCTGCATTCTGTACATTTGTTTGAATCCTAGTGACCATGTGGAGGAGGATGAGCTAGAGCAGGACGAGAATGACCCACATCCACCACAACCCAACAATGAAGATGCTTCAAACTACAGAGACAGGATTTGTTCCCAGATTTAAGCTAGCCCACCCTTAACCCAGCACCTTATTCTTTAAAAATCCTGCCATGTGAATTCATGGATTTTTTTTCACATTCTGTCTCTCACAGTTGAAGTGTACCTATGATGAAAATTACTGACCTCTGTCATCATTTTAAGTGGGAGAACTTGCAATTGGTGGCTGACTAAATACTTTTTTGCCCCACTGTATGTGAGCTGGTGTGCTGTATGCCACAGGGTGATTTGATGCACTTTAAGTGAAATCAGTCTGCTCTAACTCCTAAATCTGTACATTAAGTTTTAAACAAAGTGCATCTCTATCATCAAGACTCCTGATGTGCCTCCCAGTGGCAGCTCATGAAAACTGGGTGATATGAACCCAGGCAAAACCATCAGGGGATCTCAGAGCATCAGTGGTCCCCAGAGTCAAAGGGATATTACCGTTTGTAATTTGACATGCCGACATGCCAACCACTGCTTTTATGTTAAATCCTTTAAAGACAAGAAACAAAAATACCTTTAACGCTCAGATATACATCTTTATTTTGAGTGTCCTTCTAACAAAGTGATACGTTTTTCTTGCTGCTTTCCAAGTTCTTTTAACTGATTCAGGATTTGACCCATGCATGTAATTACTAGTTTCTCAAACCCCCTTCTTTTTTCTTTCAGCCGTCTCCAGTTGGCCAATTCTGGCCTTGTAAGTGACTCCAATGCAGTGGTCCTGCGCTCAGCATGTGCCTCATTGGACTGAAAAAATGCTGGGAGATGAGCAGTCTTGCTTCTCTTAGAGCCAGAAGCTTGTCTGTCCTGTATGGCCGATGACGGACCAGGTTGCTCTTCGGTTTCAGCAGGTGATTGCTGAGCCAGCCGCTGAAGGATGGGCTTCTTTAGGAAAGAGGGGAGTTGAAACAGTTGTGCCAGGTGGTGCACTTCCCACCGCTGTGCGACCAAAATGTTCATCCATTTGCAGACAGAAGAGGGATAAACAATTTTCATTAGTTATTGTAGAACTTTACTGATGGTGGAACTTATCATGACATTTGTTTCTTCATTAAAGCTTATGGTGACATAACCAATAACTGTGGCTATGTCTCCATTCAACATTGAGAACTCAACAAACTGAGAAAGCTTTCTGGAATGAGAGGGTGAAATGTTGTTAAAGAAATAACATAATCCAGTTGCTGTTTGACAACCTGTTTTAAAATAACTATGACCTGGATGACTGAGAACTCCACAGATCTCAATAAACTCAGCAATTGATCGAGTGTGACTGTTACATCCCCAACATGTGTTGGTAAAAATGTGAAGGATGGGGGTAAAATAATAACTGGCGGAGGAGTTTAAAATGGGTTTATTTGAACAAAAAGGTATTAAAACCACAAGCAAAGAGATCTCTCTAAAAGGTTAACATTACAAAGCAAATTATCAACTATAAAACACCTGGTAAAATCTTATATTAAAAGCTTTACCACAACGAAAGGTGTTTAAAAACGAGTTCAGTAAAATTGCCACAAACAAAGTTAACCTTTTAAAAACCGAACACACAAAAGATCCCACTGGATCATCCACTCTTTCTCAATAAGAGTTAAAAACTACAAAAGTTCCACACTCAAACAAATCCAGACGAAAAGGGGTTGAAACTACACAAAACCTGGAGGACAGCAGAACCCCTGCACTGCTGCATCCCAGACTGCTGAAAGCACAGCCCTTTTTATACAGGTGTTGGCTCATCATGATGATTTCTTGCAGCTGTGCTCCTCAGCAGTGTTGCCAACTGTTTTTGACTGAAAGTAGCTGAAGTTCCCCCCAAAAGTCACTAGACGTCGCCAGATGACGTCACGTGCTAATTTACATATTGATGACGTCATCACGCCACATTAGCGTTCGTTTTCCCATAGCATCTTTATATATACATATACACACACACACACACATATATATATATATATATAATAGGACTAAAAGGGAGGAAAATAAAAACTATGTTATATGTTACAGTTATTAATTAGTATGATTAAAATGGCCCAAATTGCTTTGATATGTACAATAAATTCCAAAACTACCAATACAGTGACATTAAGAACATGGTGAACAGAATACGGTGTGGTGATCCAACCAGTTCTGTTGTAGGATATAACTCAGACCTCCTGCTCTCCTCATTCTCACAGACATTTTCCTAAAAAGCTGTTTTTTTACACCTCATAGTTTCTCAACTGCTCTGTTGTGTATTCTCTCCATCGTGATAATAACGGTGCACCGAGCAAAAGGGAGCGGGTGTCTCATGGTACAACCATCCCTGTGTCTCTGAAGGAAATTCAGATGAGCCACAGAGCTGCGTGTGTAAACGGGACGGTAGTTGAAACTCCCGATGACTTTATTTGCCAAATGCAGGAAAAACCAAAGTGTCTGACACGGCTGCAGAACCAGAGATGGCACCCGCGCCGTCTCTAGTAGAAGCGTGAGCCTGCAGCAATATGAAAGCAGCAGACGTAAATCGGCGGTCTCCAGCTCTGCAGCTGTACTCTGTCTTCAGCGAAACTGCCCAGCCGAAAACGGTTTATGATTGGTCAGTCCTCGTGCACATGTGCAGATTATCGTTCTCTTTCCTTACTCCCGGAAGAACGGTTCAGAGTGCAAATGGTTTCTTTGTTGCTAATCTGTGGGGAATATCTACAAGAAAGTTCTACAGAAAGTAGCAACGGGTCCTGAGAAATGTCGCCAAGTTTGTCGCTAGGCGCTTTTTGGAAAAAAAGTCGTTGAGGGGGGTCAAAAAGTCGTTAGGAACAGTGACAAAGTCGCTGAGTTGGCAACACTGCTCCTCAGCAGCCCGGGAGAGAGGAGGAGGAGGGGCGGTGTCAGGCTGATTCACCAGGGCTTGGTGATTCTGGCTGCTTCTCTCCACAGGCCAGCCTGGCATCCGTAACAGTGACTCATATTGCTGTTCATGTTCTATTTCCAGGAACATTCATATATGTTTATTACAAAGAAAACATGAGTGAGCATGTTGTGTGTGTGTGTGTGATGTGCTGCTAAACAAATGAATCACAAATATAATAAACAGTGACATTTTGCTTCATAGATATCTGATGAACAGTATGCATAGTATAAAATGGTGCATTTGGCTGAAATAATGTTATTTTTGCTTCTGAGGTGTTTAAAAATGTAATGAATGTCTGAATCAATTCAATAAGATTTCTGCTATGTTAGAATTACACATTTTTTTGTAAAGAACAAGTAAAATTCTGGTGCCTGTTAGCAGCAGAAACACATCCTCACATGCTTGTGGATAGAATATAATGCATATAGAGACACGACTGTAATAATAAGTAAAGGTTATCAGCTGTAGGTTTAGTGTGCTCATAGGACACGTGCCAAAAGAACACAAAACACAGTTCTCTTTATGGCCTATATTGTTATCATCAAAACCTGATTTTAGCTACTACTAACATTTCATGTTCTACCACCGGATGTTTGGATCAAAATATGAACCAATCAGATCTTAGATCAGGCGAGAGCCAGGCGTTTCCCGTCATCCTCTAGGTTTAGCAGCCGGTGGAGAGCAACTGCAGCTCCTTGCTCCAAAATCTGTGGCCGCCTTGCTGTCACGAGGTTATCGTTGTCTACGTATGCATGACGTCAGAGCAAGTCGGCGTCAAGTCAGACACAAATCTAACGCCGGGGACACACCGGCCGAGGAAGCGCCGCGAAAATGGGACCGCCTTCATTCGGCGCCCTTGTTAAGCTATTCTATAGACCACATGGGCCGCCGAAGCGCTGCGAATCACCTCGCGCCGGCGCGCGCTGGCGCTCCAGCCCGCGCCGTGCTGCGATCATTTCGGCGTTGGCTCAATTTTTTCGCGAGCCGCGGGTGAATCGCGTCAATTCTGGCAGGAAGTCAAACGTAGACATAAGAGGCAGGCCGGTAAAGTTAACAAAATAAAGCATTTCAAAATAAAATTCCGCAATAGTCAAATGTGTTCGTAAACAGACACTTCAGAAAAACCACACGAACACGCACACACATACACACACATCGAACTTGTGTGCGTGTGTGACCACGTGAAGGGGTGTGTGATTTTGGGTGTCTTTTCACCGGAGCAAACAGGACAGAGAGGCAGAAAGTCTGAGGCAAGCAGTTAGGATGGATGACTTTAAATTAATTATGGAAGTTGAGAAACACAAGGAGCTGTACGCCCCCCGAAAAACATGGTTATCTACATTATGTACCCATTTCAGAAGAAACTGCTAGGATACAGCTGCAGAATTGGAGCGGGTTCCAAGAGATTCAACTGGCAGAAACGACTCATACCATAGGTTCACACACACACACACACACACACGCACACACGCACTCAAACGTAGAGGAAAAGAGCTGAGAAAAGGCAGAGAGGAAATGGAGGACACCAAGTATTTAACTGAAAAACTACAGCTGAGCCGAGGCGCGCCTCGACTGGGGCGCGTCTGATCTGAACTGAGGAGCGGCGAGCAGCGGCCGAATTTCGTGAGCGATTCGCTTCTCGGCGCTTCCGCGGCCGGTGTGTCCCCGGCGTAACCGGCATGCACTGCACACCGATCACCGGTGATCTAATCTGCACAGAACTGGCTCATCTCGAACACGGCCATTATGTACCAGCCGACAGTGGACCAATGTCATTCCATACAACCAAGGGTGGACCTTTTTTTTGTTGTTGTAAAAAACAATAAAATGCATTATGCAGAATTGCCTTTTCAATCACCGACTCTTCCCATGCTGATACTTGTCTGTTTTTCAAATATTTTTTCTTGTCTTTTTCAATGCATGTTAATTGAAGAATAATTGTGTCATGGTGCGGGTAAGTTGAGCGATTGTGAGGATCCAAATGCTGGGGAGGAAGCAGGCAGGCAGACAAATTGGAACATGTAAAAGGTCTTTAATGATAAACACACGCAGGACATGGAAACAATGAACCGACAAGACACACAGAACTGAGAGGGTTTAAATACATGAGGAGCTGGGAGATTGGGTGACGAGAGGCAGGTGGGAGCAATTAACATGGACACATGACTGAACAGAACGGGGAGACGGGACAGAGCGTGACAAATTGTAGAACAAACTATCTCAAACAGCAATTATTCTGGTTTAGTTATTGGACACCGTTTTTACAAAACCCAAAATAATATTTAATCACTACTAGAGGAAACAAATTTGGGGATTTCTGTATGAAACAATGCTTTTTAAAACAAGTCAAGGAGATTTAAGGATCCTAAAAGAGTGAATGGTAAATTAGTTTTTCTTTATTAATGTAAAGACAGAAAGAAATGGTCTTGAATATTTTCTTGTTTTCCATTTAGCTATTTTCTTTTTTAAATGACCAACTCTGGAATGTGTATATTGCCCTATAGTAACTGAGTGGGAACTTGTGTTATTATATATCAGCTGACAGTGGCCCCCTGTCATTCCATACAACCAAGTGTGGACTTTCTTTCTGTTGTAAAGCTCAACAATGAAATGCATTATGCAGTATTGCCTTTTCAATCACTGACTCTTCCCATGCTACTTGTCTGGTTTTTTATTTATTATATTTTTCTTGTCTTTTTCAATGCATGTTAAATGAAGAGTAAACCATCACAAACAGCAGTTATTCTGGTTTAATTATTAGACACTTTCTTACCAAAAATACCTAATTGTGTTTCAATATACCGATTTGTTTGATTTGTAGCCTGTTTGACAGTCGTTTTACAGTCTGAAAGGCTGCCAGGGGCCTGGGTTATGGGGAGTGTGAAAAGTGACGTGTGTGAATAGGTCATTAAAATCCCATCTCCAGCCTGCAGGGGTGTTGGTGTACATCAACTTTAACACTCACACACTTTCAGGTCCCCTGTTGGCTAAAATGATAAAAAATTCACCTGATGGGTTTTGACATGATTTAAAGCATGTCCAAGAGGGGACCTAAAAATGTCCCCTTTTGGCTTGATGGTCCACTGTTGGTGAATGTGTAATGACACCGAAGGCCCCTGTTTGATAGATACACACACACACACACACACACACACACACACACACACACACACACACACACACACACACACACACACACACACACACACACACACACACACGTTATATTTTAAATATTTGTGTTGGTGGCACAGTGGTGCACATTTTGAACAAATTGAAGTCAATATACAGTTTTTTTTCTACAGGTTTGGCTCATTTTTTGAAACCAAGAGGACGTTCTCACAACTCCATGTGAAATACAGCTCAAGAGACTCTGCACTTTGAGGGCACTGACAATTTTCATGAAACACATATTTTGTTTAGAGGCATATGTGAAGTGTTTTGGGAGAGACGTGACCACTTGCTGCTGATCCATTATGCTGTGTTGCATTATCCAGGTCATTTTGTCAAATGTGAGAGGACATGAGACATGAGGAGTTTTCACTTTTGAAGCATGCCTGATCTGTTTGTGTAGAGAAATGACATTTTGCCATCGTTCCATGGTGCTTTGCTAAACCATACAGAGGATTTTGCCAAATGCACTTTGGATTTTGAGAATGTCATCTCGGTTTTGAAAAATTAGCCAAACCTATTGAAAAAAACAACAACTGTAAATTGACTTAAATTTGTTCAAAATGATGCAGCAAGGATTTTGGCTTAAGTGGGTTCAAGATGACAGAGTGTGAGCTGCTCCTGAGTGTGTCTGCCCAACCCCCAGCTGCGTTTTTGTGCAGGAGACATGCATAAGGTGGGAGAGGCAGTCAGAGGGCCATCCTGAGAGCAGCAGGAATGTGCATGCAGCCTTTTGTGCTTTTTTGTGCTGTGGAGGACAAACAAGTGACTGCTTCACCTATTTGGTGAAACAAAATGCAAATGAGGCTAACTATATAACAAACATGGAAACAAATAACAGCTGTTTTTGTATATTTCTCATGTTGACATTTCAGTCTTCTTGACTTAAGCCGCCTGCGTCAGACACACACAATGCCATAACACGTTGACGCAAGAGCCCTTGGTGGGCTTGCAAAAGAAGATGGAGACATGCCTCAAATTTTAACCATTCGTCAAAAGAGACCGAGTCCGCAAGCTTGTGATTGGTCAGGATGCTGCTTCCTGTCTTCATTCGTCAACAGCATGCATCTTCTTTGCCACTTCAAAATATAAAGAGATATTTAGCAGCAGACACGGAACGGAGAGAAGAACGCATTGCGGAAAAAATGTGAAAATATGAATGTTTATTCACCCGTGACTGAAGGAGCACAAACAAATGCAGCAAGCATTTTATTGGTGGACGGAAAAGATGAGAAAGTGAGTTTAGAGATGCTGATCACATGTCCATGCTAAAAATTCTCTGAAATCCATTAAAACAATGTAAACACAATAGTAAATACACAATGGTGGACCAGATACATGAGTGTTACGGTGGCAGGACACTTCAGAATAGCACTACGCCCTCTCCTGTCCTGGTGAGGAGTTGTTCTGCAACACTCCCCAGCTGACAGAGAAGTCTGAAAGCAAAATGTCTGTCAATGTGTGTGTGTGTGTGTGTGTGTGTGTGTGTGTGTGTGTGTGTGTGTGTGTGTGTGTGTGTGTGTGTGTGTGTGTGTCCCTTGCAGAGCTGACAGAGAAATATCAATTAGGCATTAGACACAAATGCTTCTGGTCATTGCTCACAGCTGTACCTGGCTGTCAAATTTGTAATTCTGCATTCAAGAGATTAAAAATAATTTACAGTTTGTATTTTTTTTTTGCTCAAATAAAACTAAGCTAAATACAATAAATAAAATCTTTATATTATAAAACACACTAAACTGAATAGAACTTACTAGACTAAACTGGATGGGAAACCTTATTTACAGAAAAAAGGGGCAGTTCACAGCTGATTATAGGATGTTAGCTAAAATCCTTCCACTCACTCGGCCCGTCTCTGGGTTCCAAAGGCAGAAATGTTAAACAACCCTTCTCTGGAAGTTCTAGTGAAAGCAAATATGAGGTAATGAGGAATGTCGGTTTACAGACATTTACAGGTTAGGAAATCACTGTGGTTTAATGTCCTAACACACAGTTCCCCAGTTATTACTCTGCATGGTTAGTTTGAGGACCATAGAATGAAGTGACTAATGAGAACCATGAATATAATATCTATAAGATACATTAAGGAGGTAGAACATCATAATTCTAAACAGTATTGAAGTACTGTTGAGTGCTTCACTGGTGGTATAAAAGCTAATTATTAAAACTGACTAATAGGCGCTTTTATTATGTTTAGGTGGACGTATATGACGAGGGCTCATACACCTGCTCCATACAGACTAAACAGCAGCCCAAGACCTCACAGGTCTACCTCATCGTGCAGGGTAAGCTCTTCCAATAATCCACTGTTTCCTTATTCAAGCTGGCTGGGCCCGTTGCAATAAAACAAAATATTTTTTAATGCCACACACACACACACACACACACACACACACACACACACACACACACACACACACACACACACACACAGTTTGTTATTTTACACATTTTCACGATCTGTTTTAAATGCATCAATTCAAAATCTGTGTCAAAATTCTTATCAGTTAATATGCTTGTTAGACGCATTAAGAGATTAAGAGAGCTTTTATTGTTGAAGGCACTTGGCATACAAATAACTCGATATGATGTTTCTGACCATCCCGTCGCAAACAGAACACGAAGACATGACAGGACAGTGCATAACAAACACAAGAGTAACAAAACACAGGGTGCATGGGTATACGAACCCTAACCCTTACATAATAAAGTGTTCTAGCATTAAGATTGTTTTTTGTAGCAATTTTCATTAATAATAGTAGCAATATTCATTAATAATAGTAATATTAATAAAAGTAATAATAGCAACTGTAATAGTAAAAGTGATAGCAAAAGCATGTGCGAATTTCCTATAATACTGAGGTAGTTATTCTCAGACATTCACTTTTTTTAATTTTAAAAATGGGGGGGGGGGGGGGGGGGGGTCGAGATTTCTGGCCTCCTTTCCAGGCTAGTGGCTCCATTGTGTAGTTTTGGCTGTGGCTAAAGGTTGGGGAGGTGGAGTTTAGTAGTCTCACAGCCTGATGGACGAAGCTATTGGTGGGACTGGTATTATTCACAGTTTTAATGGTTTCTGAGTGAGGTGGGTGATGTATATGTCTTCCATGGAGGGAAGTGGTACAACATGGTCCTCTCAGCTGAGTTAACTATGCGCTGTAGACAGGGACAAAGTTTTTTTTTTCCCAAGTCAGTTTTTGTCCCCTGCACTTTTTACTGTCCAAAACAATATTAGCCTATATTAAACAGACACTGGTTGAGCACTTGGACCAAGCGAAAAACAACCGCTTGTGCTGAAACCTGTTTCAGTTTGGCACAACCACCTCTGGGTGGTGCTGGTGGTCCAAACATTTGAAATGATTTAACTTCATTGTCACATTCAGTGGCGGTCCGTCCAACAGGCGAACTAGGCAGCTGCCTAGGGCGCCATCCAGACACTCCAAGCCTGGATTTTATAAATACTTAAATAATTTTATTAACATTTTCTCAAAAACTTTAGTTTTATACCATTACTATAAAATACTAAGTGATCTCGGCTAGTTTGTACAAAAAGTTGATAATGTAAAAAAAGACAATTTAAATAAACATGAATTTTCAAGTTTTGGACTTGACCACACCCTACTTGTTGTTGGACCATGAACAAACGCCATTTTTTAACAGACGTTTGAGCAGCAATGGTGACGGGAGCCAAATCTGCAACCGGGTAAGTTTGATTAGTTGTATCCATTTATTGAGTTTATTAAAATGGAAAGTATTAGGCCAGTCACCAATGCAAAATAAAACAAACTCAGCCAGACCAAAAAAAAAATCATTTAGGCTTCTTAGCATGTTAGGGTAGTGTTAGTTGTGCTCTGCTGCCCTCGGGAGTCCAGCTTGTACTTTTCACGGTGTTTAAAGGTTAACATGAGGAGTTGACTAAGATTAATGTACATATATTTCAACATTAGGAGTAGTGCTAATGTTAGTGCTCTTCACTACCTCATGTCCTCCCCGCGCATGTGAGTGACCAACGGTCGCGTTTTGGAGAAAAAACTTTTCTGCTAAGCTTTTGCCACTCCGCTCGTCATATTTGTTAAACGTGGCTTGTTGGCACATGTGTACCTAGCCTACCGTACTTGTGGTCGATTTAAATCTTTGCCAGCCTTAGGTTTTTTTTTTTTTTTTTGCTCGTGCAGAGCAATATTGCCTGTGAAACTGTTCAGCTTCATCGAGCAGGTGCCACCACGGTGCACTTCGAACAGCGCAGAGAATGGTTGGTTCTTACTGAAATCATTTTAATACTTTGCATGTCATTGTTAGTAGTACACTGCTCCTCGGAGTTCAGTCGTTTTTGTGGTGTTTAAAGGTTATGTTGAGGAGTTTACTGAGAGTAGGAATGTATGTTTGAACATTGGGAGCAGTGATAATGTATTTTTTTTTGGTATCAAACCATGCAGAATGTAATTTATTAGCGTGAAAAACCCTCTCAGCCCCACGTTCTCCCTGCGCGCGTGTGTGAACGACTTTTGCGCTTTGGGGAAAACGAAACTTTACTGTTAGGATTTTGCCATTCCGTTCGCCATATTTGTTAAGAGTGGCTTGTGAGCACATGTTTTAACTAGCCAACTAGCTAGGTCTTTACCAGATTCTGTTTTTTTTTTCTGTTCATGTAGAACAAGGATTCACTGTAAAACAGAAGTTCCATCGAGCTGGATACGGCTGACGGTGCAGAGAACGGCCAGCGCTTTTGGCTCCTGCTGAAATTTGATAAGTGGTGTGTTACCTCAGTTAAGATTAAACAAAAGAAAAAAAAACTTTACCAAATAGATCAGAAACGGGAAAGTGACCTAAATATATTTTATTACATAAGGTTCTGAAATTTAAGCTTATGTGCAGCATTAACTGAATGTTATAGATATAACATCATTGTTAAGAATTAAAAAATGCATTGGAAGTGCAAGTACTGTCACATAAGCTGCGAAAAGAGAGCACAGCTGTTTAAAGAGCAAGTCACCCCCAAATCAACAATTTTTTTTCTGATAAACTATATAAATGCATGTCTAATCATGCTGCAGACACGTGGTCAATAGTTTAGCACTTCAGTGCATTTTAGTTAAAATTTAAATTTTCTGCCTGAAACGGTCAGTGTTGTGCCGTTGTCAGGTAAAAACTCTTCACTGCATTTGAATTTAAATCTGCCACCGCTATTGGCTAAGAGGTATGCTATGATGTAAACTGGTACATTATGATGTCACAATGTCGTGAGTGTGTGTGTATTTGTTAGTGGCTCCACCCTCTCGGTCTGCTAGGCAACAGCATTTATTGCATTTTTCAAACATGAAGTGGGAGTGGAGTACACTTCTTGTAAGGGGTGACTTGCTCTTTAAGCATTACAGGATAAAACATGGGAGTTTTGCAAGAACCGAACCATTTCCTTGTTTACATAAGGATTGCATGTGCACATTTAAATCATTAAATGCATTAAAAGTGCACTTATCCCGTATTCACATCAAAACAACTGATCATGAACCAAATCCAACGGTACCAGTAAAGTTTAGCTGTGTGTCTTGTGGATTTGCAGAGTCATGTACTGAGACAGAGTTCTTTTCTCACTTGCATTCTTCACATCTTAAAGTAAACCACAAAGTTCAATGCCCATATGAAGACTGTAACTTTGAAAGCAGTGTTTACAGCACATTCAAAGCACACAAGAGTAAAGAACACAAACATCAGAACTGGAAGAGGTTTAAGACTGAAATAATTGGTGAAATAATAAGTAATGCCAGTGATGCTTCCCAAGAACAATTGTTAGATGCTGATGATATGGAGGATTTAGAGAAGGTTAGTGAAGTAACCAGTGACATTGATTTTCATGATCTTGAAAAGCAGCTTGAACACAACATGGCATCTCTTCTATTAAAGCTGCAAAGTGTTCTCAACGTACCAGAGACTGCTGTACAGGAAGTTATTGAACAACTCTGTCAAATCAGTAAGTTGTCACAACCACTTTTGCAAACCAGAATTAAGACCATACTAAGGAATCACAATTTGGACATAAATGAAGTATTTGTGAAAGAGGTAACTAGCACTGTGTCAAAGAGTAACATAATGACATTCTGTGCCAAAGATGGGCCTTTAGGAACTGCCAAAAGGAGGGCTGCTTACGTACGCAAAGAGTTTCCATTAGTAAGCCCCATTGAATATATTGTGGAAAAGGCAAAAAACCTATTGCATATGTTCCTGTTCCCATGTTACAAAAGTTGTTTAATAAAACAGATGTTTTAAACAAAGCAGTGGCAGAACAAGTCCATGTTCCTCATGAATACAGATCATGTAAAGATGGACAGCATTTTAAGGAAAATTCACTTCTCTCAAATGCTGAGTTCACACTTGCCCATGGTCTTTACGTTGATGACTTTGAAGTAGTCAATCCTCTGGGCACATCAAAGCTGAAACATAAATCGTGTGCCATATACTGGGTTATTGCTAACATTCCTGCAAAATACAGATCAACCCTGAACTCCATCCAGCTTGCACTACTTTGCAATACCTCCACTGTGAAGGAGTGTGGCTATGCAAAAGTTATGCAGCCTCTCATCTATGATCTGAAGTTATTGGAGCAAAGCGGTGTTTATCTGGAGCAACTGGGAACAAGTGTTAAAGCTACTGTCTTATATGTTGCAGCTGATAACCTGGGTGCCCATTCTCTTGCAGGATTCCAGGAAAGCTTTTCTGTCGACAAATTCTGCAGATTCTGTTTGGCGAGCAGCAAAGACTCAGCAACAGGAGGTAAGTTCTGGTCTCTTTCAGTGCAGAGAGAAAGAATCCCATGACAGGCATGTGCTGGAAGTTAAAGAAGACCCAGGATTAAGCCAGATTTATGGGGTGAAACAATCATGTCCGTTGACTGAGAGTCTTGAGCACTTCCATGTAGTCAGTGGTTACCCTCCTGACGTAATGCATGATGTCTTGGAGGGCATTGTTCCCATTGAGTTATGTCTTTGTCTAACGGATCTGATAAGAAAGAAACACTTCACCCTAGGTATGCTAAACCAGGCTATTGGGCCCTTTAATTACACATTTACTGACAACACAGACAAACCTCAGGTGATTGGAAAAGGATTTTCAACCAAAGGGACCATTGGTGGAAATGCTCATGAGAACTGGTGCCTCATAAGGCTGCTTCCATTCCTTATTGGCCATTGTGACCCTGAAGGTGATGACACTTGGGAAATTCTAATGCTTCTCAAAGACATCGTTGAGCTCATTGTGGCACCATGGCGTACAGAAGAGACACTGCATTTCCTGAACTGAAAGATATCAGAACACAGAAACTTGCTGCAGTCAGTATTTCCAGAGTTTTGTTTAAGGCCAAAGCATTACTATTTGGAAAACTATCCCCAGCTTGTAAGAAAGTTTGAGCCCTTATCTGAGGTTTGGACAATGCGCTTCGAGGGCAAACATAACTTTTTTAAAAGGGCAATCCGTACTACGCAAAACTTCATAAATGTTGCCATGACATATGCAACTAAACACCAGAAAGCTCTCAGTTACCACCTTGACTGTAACACATTTTTCAGACCATCTGCAGAAATTACAAAGGTAACACGAGTTTTGGTTTCCTCTTTCCCATTGACTGTCCAGACAATAATGGCAAAAACCCTTACAAAACCCAATTCGGTGCTAGTCGCATCATCTGCCTGTGTTGATGGAATCCGTTACCATCCAGGGATGATACTGTCGGCAGGATCATGCTCCAGTCTCCCAGAGTTTGTCCAGATTGAAAATATTGTTGCTGTGAGTGCAGAAATTCTGTTTGTCTGTAAGAAAATGACCGCATGGTATGTTGAGCATTTGAGATCTTACCAACTTCAATATCACGATGTCACCTTTTGGTGTGTGTTGAAGATCCCAGAGTTAAATGATGTCTTCCCATCATCAGTCTACAGGGTACAAGGAGAACTTATGGTGACATTGAGGCATTTTGTTATTTGCTAATGGTCATTCTTTTTCCAGATGGCTGTGCAACAGAAATTTCCTATGAGGATTATTCTCTGTGAGGGAGATATAAGAAAAATGACAATGACAACACGACCTGAAACACTCCAGGATTTGGTTGACTGGCTCAAAGACGGTCTCCAAGCAAACTACGGCTTCAGCCTACAATACCAAGAGCCAGAATTTGACAATGCATTATGCAATCTTACAGATGTGTCCGAGCTCCCAGAGAAACCAACCATCAAAATTATTCCTACTATTGAGCTTGTTCCAGTCACTACAACTCCAGAGATTTCATCTGATGCAGTCAGCCTGGCAGACACCGAGATCTTGTCTGTCTCTTCTCTTGAAAGAAGCTCTCCCTGGCCAGAGGATTTTCCAATTCCAAAATTTCCGGTAGATGTAGAGTATAGACTTCGACAAGGTAATCTGCTGTACATGAGGGATGGAGTCCTCCTGAAAACAACAAAAGACTTAAAACACGAAATTCTTGACAAGTTGGCTGAGACCATCTATGCCTTCAAAGCATACCCAGATAAGCAGGACTTTGAAGCTGTTGCAAAAGCCTTAGTACAAATACATCCATGCCTCAAAGAATCTGGTTCATCTCGTGGATGGGATGGATGGAAAAACAGTTTGAAGTTTAAAATGGAGAACTACAGATCCAAAATGCGGCAGTTGGGCAGAGCTGATGTGGCTGTGAATGGAGGTAAACGTGGAAGGTACTCCGCAAGTGGTGACCCCCCGAACAAAGACATCAAGAAGCCAAAGAAAGGGGAAATAAACTTCCTGCCTGACTATCCGGAAGGGATGGATGACCGCAACCTGGAAGAAACTCGTCAGGTGTTGGTTAATGAAATGAAGAAAAAGCCAAATGGTTCCCTTATAAAAAAGAGAAATGGATGTGACCTTTGCCCTGCGCAGAAAAGAAGTTGTCAAAGATGAACCAGCAATCAGCCAGAAACTTGATTGATGGACAGCTCTATTCACAGAAAATCTGGTTTGTATGAATAATTCTCTGTACATTTATTGATTGTGTTTCATCTACTTATTCACCATTTTCCATGTTGCAGATTTTTTGTGAGTTCACCAGAGTGGCTGGGAAAAATCTGAGACGGCTTCTTCGATGCACTTGACGGTTTGTCTCCAAGCCTGATGGACCTGTTCAGGAAGAAGAAGGGCCTTGCTGGACAGATCTTAGCAGGACTTTTACATCAGTCAAAGGTAGAAGTCCCACCACATACATGTTTATCTCCTTTTAAGTTTTAGTTTTTTATCATTTCCTGTTACCTGTTCAGTGCTATTTTTTTATTATTTGCATAAGGATTAATTATTTCTCAGTTACATATTTACCACATTGTGTCCCCTGTCTTTTCTCTTCTGCTCAAACTAAAGATTTGTCACGAGTATTTTCTCTTTCTTACCCCATTTTGTCTATTTCAGGTATTTATTCTTGGTTTGTCTACTTGCTTCAATTACCAACTCTCAACTTTTTCTCCTTTTTCTCTTGCCCTTATATACTTTGCTGAATTGGGACAAAGAACACATTTAGTCCTTGTTGAAATGTTTTGAAATTGAATAAATATTCTTTTCTTTTCTTTTCTCAATGTCTTTCAGTCCACTGAGCCAACAGACATTCGGTGCCTTTGCCTTTGCCTTTGCTCCAGCAGTTAAATAAACTGTTTAAGATAACGTTAGCTTGATAGCTTCCATTCCCACCATTGTTATCAGCTAATGGTGCGTTCGCTTTCTCCTCGGAAATTCTAACTTCCCAGTAGGAAAAATCAAATGAAAAAAGACGGCAAAAGGAATGAAGATACACAGTAAATTTAGTTCACAGGAAAGATGTTTGCTTCAGTTTAATTATCAGCTTATAAAACTACAAGGACGATGTTAAAATACAAACAGTTGTATGTTATTTATCTTGATATTTATCAAATATGGTTATATATTGAGAAAAATATATATTTAATTATAAAAGAGAATTAAAATAATAAACACTCAAAAGTATCGAAAATTGGTACCGTTAAGTACCGGTATCGATTCCTAGGTACCGGGAATTAGTACCGAATCGATTCAAATGTCAAAGGTACCCATCCCTAAGTACAACTCTTGAGCTTAAATAGAATCAAAATATTTCCGGAGTTCTGCTAGATTCTGATTTAAATCAACTCTATTGATAACATATTCTAAAAATAAGTGCCATGGTGTTACATTCCCCTCTGGAGTCTAGGAGGTTCTGAGAGAGATGTCCAATATATACAGTAGACTCTTCTGAGATGTTAAAATGACTAGAGTTAGCTACTTGTATGGGTTTGAGTGTCTACCGCATTAACTATACCACACTAACTAATTGGGTTTATCTTTATTCTACTTAACTTACAAACACATGGGTCACCACTAAGAGAGGAAGCTATGTTACAATATATTAAAACAGGCAAAGTTAAAGGCCTGAAAACTAAGGTCTTTAACTAAAGGAGCTCCGACTTTAACAAACAGGGCTTAACTCAAAGTGACTCGTTTCTAAAACGAGCAATTGACTAAACTTCAAAACAAAATAAACCTCTCTTTAATAGAGCAACAACCAAAAGACAAGAGGTACAAACCAAAAGGGGCCTCACGATAGGCTTCCAACCTAAAGGGCTCAAACGCTGTAAACACCAAGAACTAGTGATGGGACGAACGGCACTGGTGCGTCAGCACAGTGTCGAGTGCACAAGAGCGAAACCCCGTATTGGTGCATGTATCGCTTAAAGAAAATATCACGTGACCGATACAGGAAGTGTGTCGTTTGGACGTGCCGCGCCAAATTGTGTTTAAAAAGAAACAAACTGTATCGACATGTTTCAGATTTGTTGGATAGAGTTTTGCTGTTGGGTTTTGGATTTTTGCTTACCCACACGCTCACTTTTCTCCGCTGACATCATGGATCGTTCCAAGAAGTTTTCCCCAGTCTGGAATAATTTTGATCTTTTGATGCCAAAAAGGTAAATTGTTTTCTCCTTTTGGCAATGTTTACTGCTATTTCTGTATTTTAAATGTGTTTGTTGTCTTTTTTCTGGTAAGAGGCTTAAATTGTTTTCAGATAAATTAACCATTTATTTTATTGTAGGTGAAGCGTCGGCTCTGCTCCACAGAGCTGTCTTACACCAATAAGAGCACTTCAATGCTGACACATTATAGAGCTCGGCATGTCAATGATGAATTGGCAGATACCCCAGGTGTGTTGAAATTATCACTAAAAAAGTCAGAATTGTCAAAAATAGTCTATTTCACACAAAAGGCTTTGTGTGGCTCTGTAGTATTGCTTTTAAAATCAATTTAGTTTATCAGTTAAGGAGGATCGCCAAGGTTAAGCGTCTGCTCTCAAGTCATGACTTTGAGACGGTGATTCACGCGTTTATTACATCGCGTCTAGACTATTGCAACGCACTGTACCTTGGTCTTCCTCAATCTCACCTCTCCCGTCTTCAAATGGTGCAAAAATGCAGCAGCACGCCTATTGACAGGTTCGAGAAAGAGGGAGCACATCACCCCAATTTTAGCTTCGCTGCACTGGCTGCCTGTGGTTTTTAGGGTCCAGTACAAGGTTCTTTCATTGGCTTTTAGAGCTGTACACGGCCTTGCTCCGCAGTATCTGTGTGAGCTTTTAGTAACTTTCTCCCCGTCTCGGTCACTGAGGTCAGCCGACCAGTTTCTCCTGGAGGTGCCGAGAACAAAGAGAAAGCTCAGGGGTGATAGGGCTTTCTCAGTAGCAGCTCCAAGGTTGTGGAATGCACTCCTGATTCAGATTAGGATGGTTTCATCACTGTCGGGTTTTAAATCACTCTTTAAGACTCATCTGTTCTCAGTTGCTTTTAATTCAGTTTGAGAATGCATCTGTTTTTAGTAGCTTTTATGTCAGTTTGATATGTTTGTTTTATCATGTTTTTACCTTGTGATGAACTTTTTATCTTGTTTTTAGAATTTTTAGGGAACTTCTGTTCGTTTTGTCTTGTTAAGCACTTAGGACAGCTTTTCTGCTGTTATAAAGTGGTATATAAATAAAGTTGACTTGACTTGACTTAAAATCCTTTAATAAGCTTTTTAAAGCTTTTAAAAAAGTATTTCCTTTTGTCTTGCAGTTCCTAGCAAGCAAGCAGTGGATGAGGCTGTGGTTTATGTGATCATCAAAGACTGCCAGCCACTCACCAAAAACGTTTGCTCCTCAATAAAAATGCAAAAATGAATCCATATTTAGTCTTTTGTTTTGTATGACCTAACACGGAGGTTAGCACGTTTACACACGTTAAAACTTTTACCTCTGATTTTTATTACAGACACAGTAAGATTTAACATGCCAACTCATTGTAGCATTTACACAAACATTATTATAAGCAATTGTTAAACTCCTTTCATAAACAAACTTAACAAATTGAGCACATTCAATTTTAATGATGAGGTAATATTTTGACTACAGGAAATTAAATCTTTCACACCTGGTGTGGGTTTGCAGCCTGTAAGCTTTTCCATCTTATTTACCTGCAATGATTTTAGAAAAACTGCAGGTGTCACTATTGTCACCAACACAGTGTCAATACAGTGCTGACACAGTTCGTGTAGTGTGTCAATACACTCCTTGAGGTATCATCATTCCATCACTACCAAGAACTAAATTAATTAAAGTCTCGAGTTACTCAAAGGGCAAAACAAAAGACGCTAGTCTGACTACATCTCATGAAATGCCAAAGAGACTAAACAAACACAGCTATATTTAATGAAGTCTCCAAATGCTCAAAAAGGAGAGCACTCAACACATGAGCTCTCAACCAATTCCTTTTCTTTCTCTCTACAAACTCCTTCTCACTCTACAAAACCCTCCTTGAATGAAAGTTCAGCAGCTCCTTAAGTAGCAGCTGCAGCTGATTAGCTTGATGGGGAGCTGCTGGGTGGAGCCTTCAGCAGGCTTCACTGCATAGAGCTGAACCTGACAGGAAAATAACAGAGCTGAACAGCAGCAATATGGTAAGATGACAGCAAGGTGTGCAGGTTTATCCCTGGGGTTGTAACACATGGTGAAAATGAAAAGGAATGAAAATCACTAACAAGGTGAAAAATAACGTTTTTTTTACTGCCACCTGTGTACTTTACAGTCAGTGCTGGATTATCATTGCAGGGGCCCCTGGGCACAATGTGCTTAGGGCCCCATCTTGTTACCTGTCTCCTTCCTCATCTTGTCTCCTGTTTCCTTCCTCATCTTGTTGCCTGTCTCCTTCCTCATCTTGTCTCCTGTTTCCTTCCTCTTCTTGTCTCCTGTTTCCTTCCTCCTCTTATCTCCTGTCTCCTTCCTCCTCTTGTCTCCTGTCTCCTTCCTCCTCTTGTCTCCTGTCTCCTTCCTCCTCTTGTCTCCTGTCTCCTTCCTCCTCTTGTCTTGTGTCTCCTTCCTCCTCTTGTCTCCTGTCTCTTTCCTCATCTTGTCTCCTGTTTCCTTCCTCGTCTTGTCTCCTGTCTCCTTCCTCTTGACTCCTGGCTCCTACCTCTTCTTTTTGTTTCCTCTAGTTGGTCTCCTCTCTTGCCTTTAGAAAAACTGCTTTCTGGCCTTTCTATTAGTAAAATCATTTACAATGTCATCAAAGTCCAGATTCCTAACAAGCTGAGATTCAACAGCCATCAGTGACAGTGCACTGAGGCGCTGTTGAGTTTGTGTTGTTCTCAGTTCATTTTTTATTCTTGCCATTTGTGAAAATGATCATTCCCCTTCACAATTTGTAACTGGTAGCAGGGGCGTTGCAAGCTTTTCAAAAGTGTGGGGAATGTTGTCTGTGCCTAAAATAATGATGTTATTCATCTTGTTAGTTTAATTTCCATAATAGCTGAGCAGGTGCGAACTTTAGACGTGTCACGCATGTCTCCGTTTTAAACATGTTTAAACTGTTCAGAATACAAATCCAGGCTCTGTCTCGTTAGATTGGTGTAACTAAAGTTTGTACTGAATGAAACATTACATTAAATCATGTTGAAAAGAAAAGGATCCGATTAAATCGTTTCCCCTCATTTACAGTCAGGAAGTACAGCGCAGTGCGCGTGGCTCTGGGGTTAATCAAGTTTAGTTGTTTCTCTTTGCAACAATCTTCACAAGAAGGCAAAACAGTTAAATGGCAGGTTACAGATATTTACATTTGACTGTTTATTTTGACGGATAAACTCAACGATGTTGGTTGTTTTGAATTACCCCGACGCACACTGATGCGCACACAGATGAGCTGACATTTAAATCGGAGGTAAATAAATCAATCAAGAAAAGATTCCCATCAGAACATCAGAGCTTTATACTGGACACAGTGCTCAGCGCAGCTCGCAACGCACACGGTGGACAGTAAGCTGAATGTGGCAATGTGGAGAAACGAGGGCCCGGGCGGGATTCGATCCCCAGGCTCCTGGGTGAGGGTCATGCACGCTTACCAGTCAGCCAAAGGGACATCCCCCTTGGCCAAGTAGCCAGGGTGCATGATCAATTGGGATACTGTCACAGGACGCTCACACTGCCACATGAAGATCTGTAGAGGGGTTTGCAGCGCAGCACAGAACTACGGTGCATGCAGTAAGATTTCCTCCCACTGAAACGGTCTGGAAACCAGGTCTCTCTGAGGGATGTGCCACTTGG